TCCTGCTTTCGAAGAGAGGCAGCATCTTGCAGTACCTAGAGCAGGAGATTTAATTGATGGCTGCAGACACCTTAGGTGACTGCTATATTTACACCCCAAGAGAATTACTAGTTACTGTAGGGATTGGGAGGTGCACTTGGAGCAGCTGCATGGAGCTGAGTGACCAAACCAGATGCAAATCCAGCAGATGACTGCAGAGGAGATGCTGAGCTTCAGTTCTCTTGAATTCCACCAGTGACTGCAATTTTGTTCCATTAAAAACACAATTACTTCACCAGGACCAGCACAAAGCTATCTAAGCAAAGACAAATTACTAGTTAGGAGGAACATACTGTTTTCACACATTTTCTTTTAAGAATCCAATCTCCAAACTTCCAAGCCCAAAATAAGGAACCCAAAAATGTTTTCCAGCATGCAGAAAGTGAGGAGCTAAATGACTGCAGTGCTGCATCACCTCACTGCATGCTTGCTGTGTGACTTTTGCACCAGCTTTGTGTACAACAGCAGTTGTAGGGGCAGCCAAATGAGCTCCCCTTTCAGAAAACCCAGGTCAGAGGGTTATTAACTAGAGAGCCGTGACCACTTGTGAGAGTGCGGCTCGGTTACCTCCAGATCTGCAAGATCTGTGAGAACGTCACCATGTTTTGCATGTGAGGTTTTTTTTGCTCTCCCTCTTTGATATAAATATATTGAGATGGTTATCTTTAACTATGCACACACGCTTGCAGGCCAAGCTGGTTCACTGAACACTGGCACAAGCCATGTGTGCTTAAACCGGCGGTCTTTATTCAGGCAAAGCCCCTGTTGATTTTTCCTTGCTTCTGTAAATTCCAGAGCCTTGGTCCAAAGCTGGCAGTGCACATTTGTTTGCCTTTGTATCGTAATATAGATGGGAAATCCTTGTAATACAGCTACATTTATTTACTGATAGAAATGTGCAGAACTGTGATAGGTTGCTACATAGGTTATTATTGATTTGTTATTTTTATTCCTGCAAAACTGGCTAGGCTAAATGCTATATTAGACCAAATAGACCTCTCTTATTTTTTTTCTTTTTTTTTCACCAAAAATTGAGCTGGCAAAATGGTCTTTTCATTTGCAAGGATCTCCTAATTTGGGTCTAATATTGTATTGCACGTGATCCAAAGCACCAACAGGGCTAGATTACATCTGTGGCCAGTTCAGTTCCTATTCAGCACTTTATTTACATATTACCAAGAAGATATGACAGTTTTTCCCCCTCTTCCCTGCATACTAATTTTGTATGAAATGCATGTTTAGACATTTTAAAGGCATTTTTGATCATAAGCATAACTGAAACAAAAAATACCACACCGTGCCCCAAACCCAAAATTAAAAAACACAAGTGGGAAGGTCTCAGAAGAGAACCTAGAAAAACAGGAGGATTTTTCAGAGGCAAGTGGCTTTCCCAAGAGTGCTTACCAGGTCCACTTCTCATGTTCTTCAGATAAATTCACATAGGATGAAGTGGACAGGAAGACCTAGGATGGGAAAGCCTGGGGTAGCAGGTTGCTTGTTCAGCCCAGTACAGCTGTATCAGGGAGGAGATGAATGATTTGCTGAGACAGAAGGATGCTGATGCTTCAGAGCAGATGGATCTCACCTGTTATGGTGGTAATTAGGCTGAACATAAAATGAAAGTTCCTAATTTTTGGAGAAGCTTTTTAATAGAAGTGTTGGGATTAAGGTGTTTGGTTTGTTTCTGGGCAGGATTATGTATTTGCCTGAGGTGATGTCTTAAGGAATTCATGCTCCAGGGAGGCCCTTCTCAATCCTACTAAAAAAAAAAAAAAATAGGGAAGAAAGATATGTATATGAAAATAAGTTTGAGGTTTCAGGAGAGATTAAGTTGGCCTGGTTTTATTTCTAAATGACTGTCCCCATACAGAGGTTGTGCTCCAGTGAAGGAATCAGTGTTATTCCAAGGCTGATAAAATTAAGTGCTGAGAATGACTGTGTGAGGATGTGGTTATGTGGCCCTTTTTACCTGGTGTGAGTGTGCCTGTGCCACAGGAGTTGGTCCTGCTATCTTTGTTCTTTCAAACTGATCCCATCCCTGCTGCTGGTGCCTGGGTGCACGTGATCTTGCACACTGTAACACTTGACTTGAACAAAATTTAACCCAGAGAAAAAACACAGTCTAGCTTGTTCTTGATTGTGTCAGTTCCTGCACTTGTCTGACAAGAGCCTTTGTCCCCAGGGCAGGTAGGGAAAAGAGAGGTCACCCTGAGCAGTGCTGGGGCTGCAGTGTGAAATTGGCCCAGCAGTGGGTCCCCAGTCTGAGAGGAACATGGACCTGTTTTAGCAGGTCCAGAGGAGGCCATGGAGATGATCAGAGGGCTGGAGTATCTCACCTGTGCGGAAAGGCTGAGCGAGCTGGGGTTGTTCAGCCTGGAAAAGAGAAGGCTCTAGGGAGACCTTAGAACACCTAAAGGGGCTCCAAGAGGTCTGAAGAGGGACTTTTTACAAGGACATGGAGTGATAGGACAAGGGGGAGTGGCTTCATACTGAAAGAGTCTAGGTTTGGTTTGGACATGAGGAAGAAATTTTTTATGAGGGTTGTGAGATGCTGTCCACAGAAGCTGTAGATACCCATACCTGGAAGTTTCCAAAACCAGGCTGGATGAGGCTTTAAGCAACTTGGTCTACTGTGCCTGGAAACTGTCCCTGCCCATGGCAGTTGATTTGGACAAGATGATCTTTAAGATCAACTTCCAGCCCAAACCATTCACTGATTCTGTGAAATGCTAGCCACAACAAGAGCATTTATTTTCCAGTCCCTTCCAGGTAGAAGGAGATGAAGGTGGCCATCTCTGGCTTCACTTTTGGGTGTGGAGGTCTTTGGGGTTTGGTGGATCTGTGTTGGTTCCCACAGCCATGCCCTTGTGCCTTTCCCCGCTTGCAGGCAAGCTGACAGAAGCATTGTGCCCACCCTGGGATCCCCTTGCCTGCAAAGCCTCACAGCTGGGCTGCAGGAGCAAATGGGCTCCTCTGTTCTGGCAGGAGGCTGTATGGCAGCCAGTGTGAAACACTTTAGTGACTCTAAAATATCAGCACGGGATGATTCATACATGGGGTTTCCTCTCACTTTCCGGCATGTGAAGCTGGGGAGGTGTTTGGAATTTTCTCCTCTCACAGCCCCTGCTCCCCAGCTCCCCTCTGAAATCTCTGTGAGACACCCATACCCCCTTGGGAGACCCTTGGGGTATTTCCTCCACGTCCCCAGCAGCAGCTTCTCTGTGAGAAAGTTTCCTGAGGCTTGGCCTCAGCTCCTGTGGTTCACCAGAGTCTGCAAGGCACAGGCAGACAGCGAACGCAAAGGTTGCATATGGCTGGGTGCAAATGAGCCTGTGTGGTCATTCAGGGTTGCTTTCATCAAACAGACTTGAAAGAAGGTGTCTTTATCTTTTCTGTCATTATTTTCACCACTAAATTATTTGCAATTTAGTTGTTGTCCTTTAGTCAAAACAGTGGGAGGTGGGGAAGCATCCTCCATGTTTAAGATTGTTTTACACCTGGTCTGTGGCTGGGTTGGAGTTTCTCTTGTGTTGGGGATGTTAAAGACCCTGACCCCAAGCAACTCTTCCTGAGCACTGTGTCCTCACTTGGACAATCACTTACTGCCGAGCAAGGAAGTGATGAGCACAAACCCCCAGGCTAACACGTCTGTGTGTTAGAGTCCCAGCCCCAAAAGCTGTGTCCTGCACAGCCCCTGCCATGGGTATTGGCTGAAGCATCCACCAGCAGGAAGGGTCACATTGTGGTTGATTTAGTGGTACTTCAGTCATACTCCATATGGATCCTAATATTTGTCTTGGAGCTCCTGGTGTGCATGTTTCATCCAATGACCCCCAAACCACCTGTCCCTCTGCCACTTTGGGTGCTGTCTTGCTCACCACATACCATCCCCTACATTTTATTTCTCTGATAACACGTTCTGATCAGTTTTTTTTTTCCTTCCTTCTTGTTTTCTTCACAGATTTATCTGGAAAGTATGACTGACAGGAGCAGCTTACTCATCATTAGATAAGTATTGCAGATGACTCATGCAGGAGTATTGATAGCTGTGCTGCTGAGATGGATATCCTGTTTTATAACAGCTGTAGTGTGATGCCAAGAGCCAGGAACCTTAATTTCAATACCCATGCTTTTCTGTGAATGTGCTTTGGGTCTCTGGCACCTTTTCTCCTTGGTTTGTCCATCTAAAGAGTTCACAGGGGAGGTTTTGCTTCCCTCAGTGGGGTGTAGGGTATGGGGCCACTCATGTCACCTTGAAATGAAAGCTAGTGTTGAAAGGCTGCAGCTTTTATAAGTGTTTTCCAGGACATGCAATATTTGTCTTTTTAGTAGATGCCATCAGTGACTTCCTCGATTCTTTGGTTTTTTTTTGTTTTGTTTGTGTTTTTTTTCCAGAGCTATTATACTCCTTCTTCAGCAGAGCAAACCAGAACGTGTAGAAACAGGTAAGGCAGCTGCTGTTGCAGCATGTTACTTTTGGATCATTAAGGGGGAAATATTGGCTGCAGTAAACTGCAAAAAAACCTGTTGACTCAATGGCAAGTGAGAGTTGTACCCAATGTACTCAGCTCCATGAGAGGCCCTGGAATTGCTGTATTCAGGGACAAATTTGCAGGCTACCTGAGAGCGTGTGTCTGAACCTCCCTCTGCTTCCAAAACCACTGGTCTCAAGGCTGTGTGAGCAATAGATGATGAGATTTCAGAAGTGATGAGCAATAGAAAGGAGCCTGCCCTTGGAGGAGATGCAAAAGGACCTGAGCCGTGAAGGTGGGGGATATGTACAGGATGGTAGGAGCTGCTGGGGACGTGTTAACCCACATGGGCTGGCAGGGGACTGAGGTGGCTTTAGCTTGGATGGGTGCAAAGGGCCATACAGCAATGCGGAAATTTGGAGTTAAAAGGAGAAATTTTTCCTGGGAGCACTGCAGAAAGGCCATGCTGCCAGTGATGGCTCTGCCTGATGTACCTACCTGTGTGTGTGTGTGTGGTGTCACTGGGGACGGCTGGGACCCCACCTGTACCACACTCATGGCCATCACCTGTGGTTCACACCAACCTCAAACTGCCGAGGATGTTTGGTTTCCATGAAGGTGCTGGGCCATGACTGAGAAGCTGTGGCTTGAGCAGTGTGTCCCTTTCACCAGCAGGAGCCTGGGACAGGACCTTCCAGTGGGGCAGTGGAGGCGTGTCAGGTGCTGCACCTGATTTCTCAGCAACATAAACCAGAGCCCGGAAGAAAAATCTGGCTTGAGGATCTGTGCTGTATCCCAGCAGCATGATTTGGGTCTCAGCATTTACTGTGAGGGTGGTGAGACACTAGAGCAGGGTACCCAGAGAAACTGTGTGCCCCATCCCTGGAGGTGTTCAAGGTTAGGTTGGACAGAGCTCTAAGCAACCTGATCTAGCGAGAGATGTCCCTGCCCATAGCAGGGGAGTTGGACTAGATCATCCTTGAAGGTGCCTGTCATTCTGTGGTTCTGTGATACTTTGCTACATTAATTGGAGCTTGTGTTCATCAGGCTGTAACAGTACTTTGGAGTAAAAAACTGGGTCCTGATCATGTGTAAAATAAAAAAAACAAAACAACTTAGTGCATCTGGCTCCAGCAGAAACCCCTTACATGATGGCTTGTAACATAGTCTCAGGTAGGTCCCTGCCTCATAGAGTAGAAAATGCCTTTAAGGCCTCTTCCCTTTAGGCTCTGCATCAGAGATATGTACGTACTATGAAACCACCTCAGGACTAAATTTTTTGGAGTAATAATCTGATGTTGCTCTTGGTAGAAAGGAGTTTGGCATTTGGGGATTGTGTAGTGTCAGTCAGTGAATGCCAGAGCCAGGGCATCAGGAATTTTTCCAGCAGGTTCTTCCACTTGGGCCATATCCTACTGCACTGACATATCTAAAAAAGCCCCAAAACTCTGACGAATGCTCTTAACCATCACTTGGTGGAAATATTTTTGGGGTAGAGAAATGAGAGCACTTGTTCCTGCCTCATTCACCTTGAATCACTGGGGTCAGGATGGTAGCTCAGAGGCAGGATCTGTGCTTCCCCCGTGGGTGGTCTCAGCTATACATATTCAAATCAAGCACCCAGGCATGTCACCTCGGTGCAGCAGGAGCTGAGAAAGGCACAGGGGCTTTCCAGCCCTTCAGGCCATTATTAGTAAGAGGGTTTGCTTGTGGTGTGTCTTTTGGTTCAAGCTGTGAACTGCCACCAGGCTCTAAAATCTGCTGGTGAGCCTTGGTAATAGTATTGCAAAAAGTTTCCGAGAAGCGTAATAACTTCCCTAAATATATATATATTTTATGTCTAAAGATGCTTGAGGATTTGTTCATGCTGAAAGTTTGCTGACCCCAGTAGAGGGGATTTGTACTCTTGCCACACTTGGGAAGCTCAGGCAGGTAGTGGATAAGGATAAGGAAGTGGTTGTTGGGGCTTTGCTTCTCTCTCTGTCATTTTGGGATGGTGAATTTGGGGGCATATTTGAGGATTTGGTGAGTAGGTAGAACAATTTATAGCAATGTGAGTGGCCTGTATGGTAACTTCAAGATTGTGCCAGCTAAGCAACTAGATCAGGGATTACAGATCCCAGGGCATCTGAAGTCAAAATAGGTTTTTAAATCACACAGGTAATTTTAAAAGAGATAATTAAGTTTCTTGAGTTCCTCAGTAGTGCCTACAAATGTTCCTGCAAATGGCTCATGAAGCAATTGCTGTCTATAACTTCTGCCAGAGGAAAATGTGCTATTAAGTGGAAATTAGCTGCCCATGTGGCATTATCTGTCTTGGAGTCTCAGGGAGTTTTACTGAGATGTGTTAATACAGCTGTGCTGAAGGTACTACTCATCTGCATGCTCTGATAACCGTCCTCATGTGAAATTAATCCCTGTGGAGCTGTTTGAGATCTTGCTGCTCCTGGTTCCCAACCTACATGGTTGCCAAAAGCTGCTACCCACAGAGGCAGGGCTAGGGATGAGCTAATGGGCATCTGCACCTTATCCCTTGCTCTGTATGAGCACAAACCCATCTTTGCTTACTGGGAGAACTGGGGCACCAGGTGAGGAGCTGAAATGTGACATATCTATTCTGCCTCCCTTTGCTGGGACAGTGGAGGATTAAGGGCTGAAGTGCACTGAGGTGGAGGCAGTGACATGTCAGGTGCTGAAGTTAGGCTTTGAGAGCAGTTTTGCCCTTTGGAAATGTCTGCTTTTTTGCACTTGACTGGTTGGCAAGGTGGGAGTCATCACCCCCCCATGTAGGTCAGCAGTTCAGCTTTTGGTTTATGCTGCAGCCAGGGGCAATCTAGTCAACATTGTCCATAGGGTTTAAGGTGTGATGGACCCCTGATAAATGGGACAAATTGCACCTTCATCTTCCTTGGCTCTGGGGCAGATTCTTCATCACCTGCAAAAGCACCCCGTGCCCACTCCTTTGGATGCAGGTGCCAAGGCTGCAAACACCTTTCTTTGATGAGATGTGGCATGCCCCAGCCATCTCACTCGGACTAGATAAAATATTTCAGATGGCTCTAGGCTGGGTGAGATGAATCCTACACCTGCTGTAGCAGTGCTCATGCCCTGGACTGTGATGGGTTGTCTGGGCAGAGATGGGGTTAAAGCAACTTCTGTGGGTCCTTCTTGCAGTGAGTCTGACTTCCCATCCTTTTCTGAAGAAGATGGTCATCACATCAAGGCCAGCTTGGAAAAGGGAAATCTCCTGTAGGTCACTTGAAATTCAGCAGTGGCTAAGTCACTGTGTACCCACTGCATCTTTCACCCATGGCTATGATGGGGAGGCAAAATAGGACTTGAGGGCATGGCACAAGAGCAGTGTGGAATCTTTTCAGGAATAGTGTTGTTTGAGGCAGTACAGGAACAGTAAGTACTGTCCTTTTAATCAAGGATTCAATAAGTTTTGTGGCAAAGGTTGATTTCTGTCTTGGCTCAAGGATTTCATAATTGTAACACTTGCCTTCTGGAGATCCACAGGTCGCATGAGCATGGGGAGCACGGGCTGCTGGGCGCTGGGTGAGCATTCTTACACTGGTCCACAGGGATGGTTGTGCCATTGAGCTCTGCCTGTGTCTCTTTCCAGCTCCCAGCACCTTGTCCCTTTTAGATGATCCCTGGTACAGGTGTATGAGGCTGGCTCTGCCATCTGCACTGGTTGTGGTGGCAGCAGATTTCCCCCCTGCAAAGGTGGTTCTCCCTGGCTGCTGCAAAGCGTGAGCAGGGAGCTGCTCCAGCTGACCCTGCTACTGCAGCAGATCTATAGATGTGCTATGAACAAGGAGGAGGGGAAGCACCTGGAGACACATCTGCATTGGACCGTGTCACACAGCTGTCCTAAGTGGGCAGCAAGCCCAGTCAGTCGGTCTGCACAGTGCCAGTGTCCTGCCCGTATGGCCTCACCAGCCTGGCTGCCTGTCCCAGGCAGTGTCAGCCTGTACAGGAGACTAATGCTTGTTTGGTTGTGTCTTAAAGCCGTGATTGCTACCAGATCGCTACCCTGAGCCTCCCCAGCTTCATTTTTCTCTTTGCATTTGGAGTTGCAGCAGCCTCATTTGAGTGAAAACACTCAAGCCAAACCCTGTGCCCCAACGGCTGCTCATCTGATAGTGCAGAGCCAGCTCGCAGCAGCTGCTAAAATAGCAGAACTGAAGTGGGGAATGAAAAGTGAGATGGTGATTAAGACCCAATTTCCTGCCGTGGCCCCGCAGTGTTCCTGCCGGCAGTGGAGGCATTGGCAGCAGTGGTGTGAAATGTCTCAGCCTCCTGCCTTGGGCTGGCTGAGCACTCACACTGCCCTGTGCTGCTTGCTTGTCTCAGTGCTTTGTAGATGTTGGTTTGGCTGAGCTCAAGGGGATGAGGAGGATCCTTTTTAGGAAGGGGGGAAGGGTAGGAAGTCCATGCAGGCTGGTCCTGGCTGAGTTGGGGTTAGAAGCAGCCGTGGTGAGACCTAGGCCAGCCCTGAAGCAGGCTGATGTTAATTGCTTTGTGTTACCTGGAAGACATGAAAGAGTGCACGGGATTTGAAAACACTGGGAACACTGGTTCTCTGGATCTTTTTCTCCTGTCTCTGCCAGTAATTTTCCTTGGACCCACCATTTAGGATTCTGAGAGAAGAAAATGCAAGAAAGAGGAATTGCTGCTAAATTGATGGTGAAGCTTCCAAGCTGATGCTGTTTGCTCCATGGGCATATGGGCTGTTCACCTGTCCTACTGTTCGGTCCCTCGTATACCTAAATGTAAAAAAGCAAATGCATTAGAATTAGTTTATCTTTTTGGACTTCTTGCATCAGAAGTTCATTCAAGAGAAAACATGAAAAATTGAGTGCAAAGATGATGCTGAGCTGATGGCTGTTCCTCTAAGGACACTGTTCCACTTGCACTTACTAACATGCTCTATGTATATGAGTATCAAAGGCAGCTTCTGGTTTCTTTCTCACCCTGAAAGTGCAAATCACTGCTCTCCTGTGTGTGCTCCAACAACTCTTAGGTCTTTGTTATAGAACCTGACATGTTTCAGCAGTCCAAACCACATCATTGTAAACTGTATCCTTACTGATTGGAGCAGTAATGTGCAGCACAGAGATGGAACTTCCTTACACTTCTTCATCCTTTGAAAAATGGTAGTTGCAAAACCCACTGCAAAGAGCTCAGAACCTCACAGACCATGGTGTTTGCTCTGGACTTAGTGGATACCCCATTTCTTTCTGTGTTTGAATGTCAGAGCAGCTCCCATCATCCACCCCTCTTAAACCCGCCAGAATCTCTCACTAACTTTTACTCTGCAAAGGTGAGTTACAGCTTAATTGGGCAGCATGAGCAACCACTGCTTGAAACTGTTGGCTTTTGCATTTCCTGGCTTCTCTTGGGGTCACCTGCATCTTCTCCAAGGTTGCCCCTTTCCCTGGATTTATGCAGCACCCAGTGCCACTGATATGGCTGGGAAGGCTTCTGTTGTATGAGGTCACAGAACTGTCCTGCTCAAATCTGACCAGTTTGAAGGAAATGGAAATGGAAATGGAAATGGAAATGGAAATGGAAATGGAAATGGAAATGTATTGTTCACAGAACAAATAGTCAGCACATGGGAGAGAGTCTCACAGACAGTGGTGCTGTTGAGGAAGATGTGCTGTTTCACAGCAGCCAAGGTAATTGCCCTGAATTGGTATCCTCTACTGCCACTACTTTCCTCCAGCCTAGGAGTACTCCTCTGCTGGTGTGCAGCCTCAGGCTTGCATGGCCAACATGCAGCAGGCAAGGAGGAGGTGAGAGGGGACTGTTGATCCTGGGTCTGGCAGAGCATCATACATCATCTTTGCTGTGTGAGGAGGGACAGCTTTTTTTGTAGAGGAAGATTTCCTGCACTCACAAAGAGACTCGTGTGACATCCTCTGCCATGGAGCAGAGGGATATTTTATATTCTTCTGGTGCCTTTCACACCAGAGAGGATTCAAAGTGCTTTTAAGACTATTTTCATAGTCTTGAGGAAGGGATGGGCAGTAGGTTTTGCATGAAATGTCCTTTCCTGCCAGGTGAACAGCACCCGACTGCGGCAGCTACAGCGCTGGGAGCCAAAGCTTTTCCAATGTACTGACTTCTGCTTGCCAGCAAAACAGCACCACAGCACAGTGTAATTTCAGGAGTCTGGAGGAAGAGCTACCCGGAATTGTTTTGAGTTTTTTAGAAGCTATTTTGAAGGAGAATGGATTAAAGGAGAGGAAATAGTGCAGACATGGAAGGTAAGCAGCTGCATTTTAAGCAGACAGGGCAAGTATGGCTTTGAGGTGATAGCAGGGAACAGGCTGCAGATGAATTTCAGTGCATAATGCCACCATACAGATACAAAACACTTCTCTCTTTGACAGAGAAATCTTTCATATCAATCTACGGATGAAACAATGCTTGGTTGAAAGAAACTGCATAGCCTTGGTCTGGTGGCACCTGGCATATTCCCTAGTCCTGGTTTCCCAGGCCAGCAAGGCTATAGAAAACATGAAGAATATGGAAAACCAATAAACTTTCTCCTAGGATCCAAGCCAGAAGAGTGTTCTTCTGGGATGATCCAAATGTCTTTAACTAAACTCCTGCAACTGAGAATGGCAGTTTTGTTGGCATCTGTTAGTCACAGCACAGAAAGGCAGCAGGCTGTGTCACCATCCTGACTTACAGATGCTGGTCACAGGGCAGGGAGGCTGTGGCAGAAGCAGAAGATTTGGTGGAAGAGGAAGGATCTGCTGTAGTGAAGAGACATGGGAGATTGGACAGGGTGATCCCATGTCAGTCTGTAGAAGAGGGCAGGTGTGGGCAGCTCACCAGTGTCTCCTGATGTCACTGAGGATGGCAGGCAACTGGCAGCTCCTCATCCTGCAGTCTTTGTCTAGAACTCTGTAGCCATCCACTAACCTGTCTTGGATGGCTTCTCCAGTGTCATCCCATGTTCATGACCACATCTATCAAGCAGTGCTGGCATATGGTGTAAGTCAGGAGCTGCATGGGAGAGCAACTGCAGGTGACCCTGCTGGCAGGAGCCATTTCCAGTGGTTTCCCTGCTGCTTTCTGGCTTTGCTCAGTCTGGTGGTGGAAGATGTGTGTCCAGCCCAGCCTAGAGGCTGTGGGTCACACTTTGATGTGCCCTCCCTTTGCCAGCTATGCCAGCTTGGCTCGCTTGCCAAGTCCATGTTCAGCATGATAGATGTCAGCAGCAGAGCCAAAGGATTGCCAGGGTGTGTTGGAGTCTGTTCACAAAGCCTGCAAGGAGATGGAAAAGGTCATTTTGTCTAGGGCAGGGGAGGAGGAAAGAGGCAGAAGGAGTGATGCCATGTGGATTTGTTTTATTCTCTTGGGGAAAACAAAGCATCTCTGCAACAGATGATTTGATGATTCTGGAGATCTTTTTCAACCTTAATGATTCTGTGATTCTGTGACAGGAGAGCAGAATGGAAATAAAAACTGAGATAAAGAAGAGATAAAAAACTGAGATAAAGAAACAGATGAGCTCCTTAGCAACTTTCTCTTGCATCTCACCTCACTGGGTCTCTTTACTACCAACAGTAGGGAATAAAAAGGCAGAAAAAAAAGCGCCACGAGAGGAGTTTCGAATGGATGCCAAGATTGATTTAATTAGATGTATTGAATTCGTTAACTTCTGAATGATTTGGCTGTCATGCAGCACAAGTGACAAGCTGCGAGCAGCAACGGCAGTGTGGCACCAACCTGCCAAAAGGCTCAGCAAAGCAGAAGGATTGACCTACTTCCCTGGGCTCCATGGAGAGCACAGGCGACTGCCCTCCACTTGCTATTGCCGTGCTCCCTGGAGGGCTGTGCATCCCTCTGTGCAGGGCAGAGCTCACCAGCCCAGCACTGCCCGTCATCTCCAGCATGAGCCTGGGGCTGGGTAAATGTCCGCGTGCCTTTGGGAGGCAGATCCCTCAAAGCAAGGGCTCCTGCTTTGTGTGCTGACTTCTGTCTTTTGGCTGATACTGATTTACTGCTTCTCCCACCTAGTGTACCCTTAAAAAATACCAGTGTTCTCTGATAATGGGCCTAAATGCTGTTGCAGCTGATAAGGGTGATAAAATCACCCATGCACACTGCCATGGCAACCTGCGGCTCTTCGGTCTTGATGCGTGTCTGCTCTTTGGTATGAGTGCAGATGTCTGGGTTTGTTTGAGACTCAGCCTGAGAATCACCTGAGTCTGGAGGATTTGTTTTCTGTTATGAGCTCTGACATGGATGTGGAGCCACTGAACGGCTCCTTGTCTTGCTGGCCACCCTCAGTGTGGAGCAGAGCATGCTTCCCCTTGTACCTTGCTGGAGCCCTGGCAGTGCAAATTGCATCTTGAAAGATTTGTCAGTGCCAGGAAAGAGGCTTCCGAAATAGAAATTTGTTTCCAAATGAATTCCATAATGGTTGTCAAGAGAAACTGCTGAGTGTCTGCTCCCAGGTCTGCCATTGTGCAATGAGTGCGTAGATCCAGAGTCCTCCCTGCAGTGACCACAGGATCCCTTAGAGATCCTGTGGTCATCCTGGACAGGTAACATTCCAGCTAGAGAAGTCCCAAGAGTTGAGTGGCATTCTGATGTACTGCCCTTGGTAGCAGCCATTAGCCAAACTCCACTGCATTTGTTTGAGTTTTCTCCGTCCCTCATTATTGTAGATGCAAGAATATGTCCTGTCAAGCCATGTCTGTTAAGTAGTGAAGAGAGAATGTGGATTGCCTAAGCTTCCAGCACAGAAGTGGTGCTGCTGTGACAGAGAGTGTTTGCCAAGACCTTTGGAGCTCAAAGACACCGACAGAGATGTTTGTGAAGTGCGCAAGTACAGAAATGCTGCACGAAACCATGGTCTGGGTTGTGCTGAATATCCCTATATGACCGAATGAAATGCTGGCATGTAAGGGAAGCTTAGGCACACCATCAGCCTCCTCTGATTATTGTCAGTATTAAGCCCAGATTGGCAACATCAGGTCAGGTAGTCACCCAGTATGGTGGGGACTTGCTATTTCAGTGAGGAAATAAGACAAAGCAGCACTGGGGAAGTTGTCACACAGAGAGGACAACTGGGATGTTGTTTCCCACCACCCAAGCTCAGGCCTTCTCCTCTTCTTGCCTCAAGTGTTGCTTCTTCTCCTAGCCCTACAGCATCACTCAGCTTAAGGAAAGAATGGTAGCTTGGGTGGGGAGATGAAAGAAGAAATGTTATTTCATTGACCAGTGTCAACAAAATATATGGAAAGAAGAAAAAGAGGATGGATGGAAGGAATCCAGCTGTCTTCTTCTGCAGAGAAGAAATCTCTTTGTAGCATTGAGGCTGCTTCCAGGGTTCATGATTCAGCTTTCAGGTCAGTTGTTGGTAGTTAGGATGTTTTCATTTTGACTTCTTCTGTTGACAAGGCAGTAAGAGCTCTGTGAGAACGCGTATCTCTCCATCACATATGACTAATTGTACTGGGACAGCCGTGAGCACAATAACACTTCTGTTTTCCTCCAGAACAGCTCCATTACAGACTGCCTGGTAGCTGAGCCCCAGCAAGTGTTTTTGCAGTTTTGCTGATTGTGCAGCCCAGATAACCTGTGAGAGAGCAAACATAGAAAGTGTTGAATATTCAGCTCAAAAAACAGAAAACAGACTTGTTTCGCTGCTTGTCTGAACTGAGCTTTTAAGTGCGTGTTGTCAGTGCTTTTCAGGAAAGTCATCTCGTCTGGGACACGTCATCTGGCAGAGAAGTGCTCCCATTTAGGGACAGCCATCAAGAGTTCTGCAAAGGCCAGGGCTCATGGCTAGGCGCTGTTGTCTTTGCAGCTTAGTTTTGTGTTTTACTTTTCCCGTCTCCTTGGAGAGCAAAATCCAATCTGTGCAAAACAGATGCAATTTTAAACAAGATTTGTCTTAGTCTTACACTCAAAAAACTGTCTCCAAAAGAGCCAGTGCATAGCAGAAGCTAGCAGAAGACTTTCTCCAGATGTTTGCTGCTGTTCATCCTATTTCTGCAGCAACCCAGGAGTTTTGGTGCAATGTAAGTACTGAATATAAATTTCTTGGCATTAAACTGGTTGTCTTCTGTTCCTCAGGGAAACAGCTGTATTTATGCATGAAAACCACACTCTCATTCCTCAAGAAGTGTGTTGGCATAGATGAGCCTCTGACCTCGATGTATCAGCTCAGTGGTCAACAGCCTTATGCAGAAAGAGCTTTGGTGTGCAACTCTTCCACTTGGTGAGTTTAATCTATGTATGGATTACAACAGAAGGTTCTCTACAAGAGGCTATGCAGGTTTAAATCTGCCCTTCCTTTGATGAAATCATTGCTTGCTCCTCAAGGAGATTTGTGATATCTAGAATCTGCATTCTGAGTGTGCAGGTGGGCAGTCTGTCCAACATAGGGAGGTAGCAGAGATCTGTGTGACTCTTCCTCTGTCCCTTTTCCCTAGGAGAGAAGCCAGTTTTCTTTCCTGCAGCAAGGCACCTCTTCTGATTTAGGAGTGCAAGACTACTTTTGTCATGACGCTGTCACAAGGCCATAGTTTCTGCCTGGGTGTTAGAGAACACCCAGAATCAGTAGGAGAAGGATGATGCACCAGGAGGTAGCCAGTCAGTGCAGACCTTCTGAGGGCTTTGACTTCTCATAACAAATTCACCAAAGGTCCACTTCAGTCTATTTCTCCTCTCCTTGCTATGTTGGCTTTGTTGTTTGTTGTTTGTTGTTTGTTGTTGGAAGACAGGAGTTACCTAAGGAGCTCTGGGCAACTGAGTAGAGGAGCTGAGCTTGGGATGTGAACTTGGCAGCTGCAGACACCAAGGAGGAAACTGCTCTCCTGAAAGTGTGAGGAATCTCTGGACACGGACAGAGTGTGCATGGCATTGTGACTGTGATCTGCCTGGATGAGTGCTCTGTTGATGCCCCTTGCAGGGGCTAATGCATGTGTCTGCAGCTCTTAAAAATAAGGGTGTTGCCCAATGTCCCTGTCAGCCTTGAGCATAGTTCCCGTCATTCCTGCTGGATGCCCTGCGGTGGGAAGAGCAGGCATGCTGGCTGCCAGTTCAGGTCTAAAAATGATGTCTGTGCAAAGTCCATCCTTGTCTGGACTCCAAGGGGCTGCTGTGCACAAGGCCTTCACACAGTTTCCTTAACAGGCTCCTTTTCACTTTTTCCAGGGACTTGCACTGTGCTTCATTTCAGAGTGATCCAGTGAATTAACATATTGTTGCTGCTGCCTGGGTAATTGCATGCCCGGGGTCTGCTCTGCTCCAGCACAGTCTTCCCACTTCCCAGACAGAAAGCATCCTTCTCCTTTGGCAAACAAAGATGCAAAGTATTGCCCTGAGGCCTAGCTCAAAGGCTGGAGGAATGAGAGGGTAGAAAGAGGAGCTGTTTCTGAAAGTATATCTGGCTTCAAGGGCTTACCTATCAATGAGGAGTTGGAGATGGTGTTTTTCAGTCTTTATTTCTCTACAGAAGTACTAATTTTGACTGAAGCTGTGGTTTTCTTGGTGATTTATGCAGGCATTGGTATGGGTGCAGTTGCAGAAATTTAGTTTAGCACAAGTCACCATGAGGACTCAGAACTGCTTGAAATGAGCTGTCCTGGGTCACACAGGAATTTCAGCAGAAGTTGAAACTGAGTGGTCTGATACTCTCTTTGTACTGAAAATAAAACTCTTTGAATAGGTAACTGTAAAAATGCTTGCTGGTCTCACTTCCAAGTACAAAAAAATTCACATGTGGAGAAACCTTTAGAGCCTCTAAGTTCCTGTGAGGCAAGACCACATCTCAGAACACTTTGGTGAGCATATTATTGAAATGGGGTGGGTTTCTTAATGCAGATGCAAGTTTGCATTTTTGAAAGATGATATTTGGTCAGGACTGACTTCTGGTGGGGAGCTGGCATCCCTTAGTCAATAGTCTCCAAAAAGAAGTGTGGTTATGTGCAACATGAGGAGGGCAGCTTTACCTCCTAGCACAGGTTGGCTGTCAAACAGATGCATTAAGAGGAGGGGGAGCATCCAAACTCAGAGATAGTGGGGAGAAAGTTGATTTATAGCTCTACCACTATCTTTCTTGGTGACCTGGAGTAAGAAGATGAACTTCTCCTTTTCCACCTCCTCCTCTGCTGCCCACCCAACACATGTGGCAATTGCCTTGTAGTTTCTATGGGTCCTTCTAAAAAGTTGGAACTTGGTAGTGCTATCTGTAAAGTCCCTTTTCATCTTCTCAGTTGTGAACATTTCCTGTCCATTAGCAACGTAAGCTGTTTTGACTGAAAGGGAAGAGATTTTTCCAACACTCTTTTTGACACAAGGGATGGAGAGGATGATGTGGCCATATTGACAGTGTAGCTGGGTCATCCTGCACCAGAGCCATGCAGTCTGTGGGCAGAGGGAAGGCTTCTTGAGGCATCTCCATCCTCTGGAATAGAGGCTGCAGCCTTGGGCAGTATATGGAGAGCCCTTTTGTGATTGGCCTAGCCACGGGCCTTAGGGAATCCCACTTGTTCTGTAACATGTGTGTGTATTTATGCACACACACAAAGAAGAAGGATGGACGTGTGTGTGCTGCAGGTGGGACATGGACAAAGGTTCCTTTGCCACTGGCACCCCAGCTGAGAGGAGCAGTTGCATGTGGGCCACTGTGGGACCGCATGCAGGACTGGGGTTTGTTGTGTCCTGAGAGGAACATAGGCACAGTGCCCAGGGATGCCTTCTGGGCCTTCGTGGTCCTGGATGTAGTTGTTTCTCTAACTCTTTCACTTGGGGGACATCCCAGTCCCCGAGTGCTGAGTGATTCCCACCCTTCCTCCAAAGCTCTTGCACTGGTGGCAGTTAGGAGATGTAGGACAATACAGGCTGAAAGGGATCTTGGGTGGGTCAGCTGTGAGATCAGACCAGGCTGTTTGTGACTTTGGGCAAGTCCTGCTTTCGGTGAACTAGGCTGTGTTCCCTCTGCAGGTGCTGGGGCTGCTGCTGCATCCCTCAAAGCCATCTCTTGCTCTGGCTGAACAAGCCCAGCTCCCATAGCCTCTTCTCTTTGGGCAAGTCACCAGTGCTCCTCCACTGCACTTGATCCAGTTAGTCCCTGTGTTTCTTGTACCAAGACAAGATGCAGTGTCTAGATGGGCTCTAATGAGTGCTGAGATCTCCTGGCTGTTTCTGCCCTGCAGCCCAATATGCTGTTGGTCTTTGCTGCAGTTTCTTTCCTAAGGTCCAGGTGGCTTGTGGTCCCAACAACTGTCCCAGCCCTTGAGGAGTGGCAGAGCTGCTGGGACATGGGGCTGTGCCTAGATGATCGCTTAAATAGGACCCCGTAACTGTGCTTGGAAAGCCTGAGTGTTTCTCAGCAGCAGGAGGGAAGAGGAACACAGAGGAGCCCTGGGGTGGCAAAGTCTTCTTCTCCCTGCTAATGGTGTGGGCTCCCATAGGGAGAGACACAGAGCCCAGAAAGATGAGTGCTACAGAAAAAAAGAAAAGAGGTGTAGTGTTATAACTACCACTGTCCCACTTACTCATCTGGAAAGCAAGATTTTACTCGCTGCTCTGCTTGCCGTGGGGCTGTGACTCTTGATGGCCATGGACTGCTGAGGTCCTGCAATACCAGTGCACAGGGCTGTGGAACCTACCTCACTGTGCTCGCTGCTGGGCTTGCACCACGACCCCTGGAGCCATGTGCAGAGGAATAGTGTGTATCCATGTATGTATGCCATACTCAAGCAAAATGCTGCAATTCTGTGCTGTGCTGCCAAGTTGGTGTGTGAGTTTCAAAGCAGCAGCCTATATTTTTGAAGATCCAAGAGCCTTGGGAAAAGATCTATTTTTTTATGCTGTACTAATTTAATAAATGTCTTTTTTTAGTATAGGAAGGTAGCAATAAAAGACAAAAAGGAGAAAGAAATGACAGAAAGACCTGTACAATAACTTTAAAGATTTTCTGCTTTTCCGTTCATGTTCTTTTCAGGAAATGAAACTGGCTATATATGGTATAGGATTGAAACCACATATCACAAGCCACTGTCAAGTTCATGAAGTGACCACATTGAAAAAGTAGTGAAAAATGGGTTCTTACTGGTGCCTTCCTAGCCTGTAGGAATCGTGGCTGCGGCTTGTGATTGTAGTAGGGTGAAGATTTGCATTTTCAAGTTGGCGGTTTTCCTTTTTGCTCTTCCACTTCCTACAAACTAATTTAATGCAGTGTTAATTGTGAATCTAGAATGCAAATCGACTCACCTGCTTGTTTTTTTCTTTCATTTTCAGATTTTCTAAGTATGGAAGCTCTCCTGAGGAGCTGCATTGTGTGCTGCTGGCCCTGGGATGGGATGCGGAGCAAGGAGTGAAGAAGAGCTGTGCCAGTGCTTTTGTGAGGAGAGGGGCTTTCTGGCATGTCATATGGTAATATGACATTTTGCTCTTGGCGTCAAAAATCCTTATCCTTCTTGGTTTGTTTTTTTTTTTTTTCCAGGACAGATGCTATTTCCTGTTAGAGATGCTTTGTATGCAAATCAAGGTGACACGACAAGAGAAAAGTCCTGAAAGCAATCACACCGATAAACTCAGCCCACTGGGGAATTCCTGCTTATCATTTATCTTTTGTTTTTTCAGTTCTGTACAAGATACTTCTTTGCCTGTGCTTTCTTACAGTCTTTAATGTTTGTCCTGCCAGACCTCTTGCTTAGGAATTACAGTGCTTGCATTTTTCAGGGCTCTGTGTCAATCTGCACAAACAAAAGGCAGTAAGTGCTGGATATTGGGGTTAACAGTCCCTGTGTTTCAGCTTGATCTTGCATTGATCTGGTGCTTTCTTAAGTTCAAGCCAGACATGAGCCTCACATTACAGATTGCCTGTAGTGATGATCTATTGGAAAAGTGATCCCAGAAACCTCAGGAATGAAAAAAAAAAAAAAAAAAGAGAGATAAAAAGCAAAAAGAAGACAGCAAAAATTTTACCTAGTAACTTAAACAGGAACAGGATTTGACCTCAAGAGATGGTGTGGGCAGCACTGCACTAATGCAGTAACACAAATTGATCACGTCATTGCTCCAGCAAGGCAAACTCACATAGAATCACAGACTAGTTTGGGAAGGGATTTCAAAGATCATCTAGTTGAACTCCCTTGCCATAGCCAGGGAGACCTTCTATCAGACCAGGTTGCTCAGGGCCCTTTCCAACCTGGCCTTGAACACTCCAGGGGTTGGGCATCCACAACTTCCCTGGGCATCTGCTCAGCCTGTGCCCTATAGGTGTCCCTGTAAGTGGATGGTGCTGCTCAAAGCCTTGCTCTCACCAGGCTGCCACCCTGCTGATGTTACAACAGGCTGTCAGGGTGAAAAAAAGACTCAGAAACAGAAAAGGATGTGTCAGAGAGCTGCAGAACGGCATTGCCAAAGAACATTCTCTGCGTGTCCAGAGATAGCCGCTGCAGCCCAGGTCTTGTTGAATCATGCTGTGGTTGTTCTGGCCTTTGTGTGGGTAACAGTGATAATCATTGTGTGTGGTGTTGGGTTTTATTATTTCTTTTTATTTTTCCTTAAATGTAAAATTAACAGTCAAATTGGCATTGGTGAGGCAGCAAGCCTGGTGCAGCTTTTATCTATCCTGAACCTCGGAACAAAAGAGGGGAGGAAAATGGCTTGACCAGTTTGGCAGCCGTGCACGTAACGGTCCTGGAGTTCAAAGCAAAGGGCACAACAGTCAGATACCCAAACCCGCCTGGGCTTTGGCTGATAAGTCACATTTCAAAGTAAAAGGCAATCCTGCTGGGGCTCTGCTGAGTGCCTAAAACTCCAGTGCTGAGTCTTCTTTAAAAGGGGATTTCATAAGGAGTAATATGAACAGAAATGGCTCTTTTGTGGTTTTGCACATTCCAGGCATGCCAGGACTGTTCCTGTCAAGGATGGGCGGTCTCTGGGGTTTTGGGTTCTTTTTCTTTTTTTTCTTTTTTTTTTTTTTAATTTTTTCCCCAAATATTTGCCACAAACTAGCAGCTGAAAGGGTGAAAAATAAATAAGAGTTGCAAAATCATTACAGTAGCAGTAATGAAACTGTGAAGCTTATACTTCAATTGGCTGTGGGGTTTCACTCCATCTTCTGCACTGTTCTGCTGTGAGGTTTACTACTTTTACCTGCTATGTCCACTTCAGGATGGATGATTTTGAAAGCAGAGCTTTAACTGCTTGAAGTTGGTTACCCAGGACTTCAAAAAGCAGTGCTTTTGGCTTTTTCACCAGGAATACCTTCAGAGTCGGAACCATGGGACCAAAATACTAATCCTGAGAATTTGTTCTCAGCCCAAGTTTGACCGGAGCACAAATACAGATAGAGAGAGAAGGCATCTCTTTGAAAGTGGCAATAGAAGTGACACTGTTGGAGTGAACCTTCTGGCCTGGTTTTATTAAATGTGAATATGGTTACTTAGTGGTGAACAGGAATGGATGGTGGAGTGCATTTAGGAGATAGGTGCTGAAGCCCCCTCCCATCCTTCCCAACACAGGGAAGTCTCAAGGCTGTTGCCTGGACTGTTTTGGGTCTGTGGGTGGAGGAACTTAATCACCAAGGTTGCCATCAAATGCTGCCCTTACAAGATACAAGGAAGAAGTGCTTGTGTTAATTCTGTGCTCAACATACATATTTTTCATCTTAGACAAGTCTGGTCTTCTAGCCTTCTGGACTGCTGCCATTTTGGGTTTGGGAAATTTTTTTTTTCTTTCTTTCTCCATCAGTGCTACCAATCACAGAATTTTGGAAACGAAAAGTCATAAGGGGCGTGTTCAGTGGTGAGCTCTTTTTACTAGGCTGATCTTTTTGGAGTTGGTTTTGAGGTGGATTTTGTTCTGTCCACTCAGTGTCTCCGCTGTGGAAATATTTATTGCTGTGAAACTGTAGCAAGCTTTATAAGTGGCAGGAAAAAACACTTTTGTAACCAAACAAATGTGCTTTCCGTACAAGTCACACAGGTGAAAAATTTGGAATTTTTTTGTTTTGTTTTGTACCAAACCAGTTTTTCCACTGTGTTATCTGGAGTGGGAAAATGAGTGGACCTTGCATTTTAATATAGATTTAATCTATGTAATCACAACAGAAGTGTACATAAAGATTCTCTGTTATTCTGCTTTTTCTATGTATTTGCTTAGTGCTTTTGTGCCTTAGAATCTCTGTTTTTCTTCTTTTTGATGGTTTGAGAGTTTTGATAGAGACAACAAAAGTGCTTAAAAGTATTAAGGTCCTTGGGAAGGCTACAAAAGTTCTGCAGCGGTGAAGAGATGCAGGCAACCTGTAGAAGAGCCAGATTTTGACAGCATGGGAAGTGGTTAGCGCCTCATTGGACATCCTCACATCAAAGCTGGACAGTGGGTTGCTTGAAATACTCTGTTTGAACCACAAATTGCTGGGCTTTGGGCAGAAATCACTGTATGAAATTCTGTGGTCTTTATTAGTCAGGCGGACAGACAATAATTTTGCTGGTTTCTCTCAGAGAATTTATGAATCACATAGTTAGGGTGTTCTGGGGGGAGTTTGAGTTTCCATGAAAAGTTTGCTGTGGTAGCATGCAGACAACAAACCCATCTGTTCTCTTGTCCTTTCATTGTACTGTGTTGCTTTCGAATTGTTCCAGGAGGATGAAATTGGGCTTGTTATTTAAATTTCAGTATGGGTGGCCAGAGCAACTCTACCTTGGTTTTTATGGACCTCCAGGAATGGATGGTGCCTTATGCCAGCCCTGATTTAACAAAACCTGAGGACCGACTCAGCACTGCAGCATAGCCCATGGGAATTGTGTGCCATGGATCCTGCAGCAAGGCAGTGTCTGGGAATATCTCCTCGCACTCTTTAGTAGTAAGGATGTAATCAGCTCTTGTAGGCTGGTATCTGATTAAACAGCACAGTGTGGAAAAAATATCAATCCCACACTTGTTTAGGCAGTTGAACGTGTGTAGTTGGCAACAATGAATTCAGGTTCTGTCTGAAGTGTGTGTGAGTCCATCTGGGGAGCACAGTGTCGGGGAGAGAGTCCGTGGGATCCTCCTGATGGAGCTGTGAGACAGAAAGGAACCCTACAACTCTGGAGAGCAAGTAGGAGCAGGGGTGTGACTTGTGACTTTGTCCTTTTAAAGGGGGACACGCTGCCTGGTGTCTGTAGGGAAGAAGGGAGGGGAAGTGCCAGGAAGAATTCACGGCAAGCCGCAGATGACTTGGGCTTGCTTTGACTCCAGGCATGAGGAGTGCAATGAATTTGGTTAATTGGGATGAAGGCTGGCAAGAGGGTGACTTGACTGCCACATCTACAGGAAGAATGTTTTGATCAGCAGGTTTGGGGTAAGGAGGAACCCTTAGAATTTTTATGTCCTTTTCCAGATTTTAGAGGAAATGTCTCTCTAGCATTGCAGGTTTAGTTTAAAATATTGGGCTTATTATGTAGAGATCCTGGGTGAAAGGGACTGATATGCAGTGTAGTGAAGGCAGGATGGATATTTTTGGGTCTTTCAGCCTTTATGCTCAAAGCTCTGGTACTCCCCAGCACCTTCTTCCCTCAAAGAAGGGAAGCACCTTCTTCTACCCCTCCCTGGGGTAGGGGAGTTCTGCCACAATGCTGGGCATAGCGTAAACTGTCAGGACAAAACGCTTCAGAGCCATCATGTCTCAAGACAGGTGTCTTAAGATAGCTGCTTTCCCTCTGGTAATGGCTATTGTCCTCCAGCAGCTATGTGGGAGACCAGAAATCTGGCTGAGGTGTGGACTCCTGTGCTTTGGATGTCTGAAGCTGCGTGAGGTGAACGCCCCTCTCACTACCTGTGTGCATGATGAGTTTGTGGAATAAAGAACCTAACAAAGAACCGTCTGACACCACCTGAGATGAAAATAATATGGAAACCTTAATAATCTCTCTGCAGCTGAGCAGTCTCTGGAGGTTCTGTAGCAAACTTGACCCACTTGCTGAACCCCAGCAGTGCAGCACTGGGCACTCCTCTGCCTGCCTTCAGAAGAATGAAAGGACAGCAGTATGAAAAGAGACAAGTACAGGGCACAGCAATCAGTGGTAAGTCTTTAGTAAGAAAGAGCTGGGGTATTTTGTTTGCTATTAAAAGCAAACCCACCTTCTGCAGCATTTCTCTTTGTGAGGTGCTCAGAAAGGAGGGAGGTGTTGGCAGAAGTTTGTTTTCAGCCTGATTTAATGTTTTCCCAGTTCTTTCCCTGCACTCCAGTTCATCCCACCCCAGTCTTTCCAGCCATGCTGTGCTGGGAAGCAGCTGTGAGCTCATCCTTAGGGCTGAGTTCTAACATGGTAACTGTCCTGGGGTCAATTTCTTTGCAGGGATGGGGGGAGGGCTCTTGCCACTGGTAAGAAGCAGCTTGACTCTTTTGCCAGTTGTCTCAGTTTACTGTCAGGATGGCCTCCCTTGATGGCTCATCATGAGCCCAGCCTCCCATTTCTAAGCTCCCCAGAGGTGTTACCACTTTGCCTTGGCTTCATATTAGGGCATCTGAGTGGATAAAGTGGGTAAAATTCAAACCCAAAACCTCTGGACTTTGGGAAGATGATAGCAGTGGACTATTAGTAGCAAACTGTAACCCATATCCCCTTCCCAGGTAGGTGTTGCTGAGAAGATGGTTCCCATGTGCTCCTCAGAAGGGCTGCTGAGCTGCCAGACAAGCACCAAGCTTTCCCCTTCCTGCATGTACCTGTCCTGCTGGCTGCAGCCCCTGCTGCACTCTGGGAGGATGCAAGGCTCTGGCTCTTTGAATGGCTGTCCAGAAGAGTGAGGGAAAACCTCCCTGGACACAAACCACATTGATTTGCTGGTGTTGTTTCTTGTTGTTTTTTCTTTTGGCTGTCTGAAAAACTAAGTACAAACCTCTTTCACCTATTTGACATTAATTCACTAATGGATTGCAGAAGGTTTCATGTTTGGTTTTTAGCTGAAAAAGTGATGATGCAATTATAAACCTCTCATCCATTATGTATCTTTGAACCATGTGAAAAGTGTGAATTTTTACAGAAAATGTGAGAGTGGTGGGGGTTGTGGAATAAACTTTTTTGCCTGAATTTTATTCTAAGTTTTGAATTAATGAGATGTATTTAATGGGTCTGAGAAAGCTGTGATTTTTCTCCTTTTCTTCCTGCAGTGTTGGGCTTTTTTATTCTTTTTGGGGGGCTTTTTGGGGTGTTGCTGTTGTTTAGCTTTTTTTGTAAACAAAATATTTACTCCACAAGTTAAAAGGTTTCTCATAAACAAATTAATGTCAAAAGAAAAGTAAGGATGAGGAGAGACCAGACATTGGGTTTTAGTTACCTCCTGTTTTTTCCTTTTAAGCTTCAGCAAAATGGCAATGATTTCATTTTGACCCACTTTCAAATCACATTAGCAAATGAATACAGAATGGGAAGGACAATCACGTGAACTTCAAAAATGAAGCAGGTCAGGACAGGAGAGAACAGCAGCAATCCTGCTCTGACCATCTGCCCGGACTGGGGTGTTTTAGTGTATCCTACAACATTTTTTGTGTCATCAATAACAAATATCCAGTGATTGGAAGGGGATAAGGAAAAAGGATCCCTCAGTGCTTTGCCCATTTTTCTTGGCTCCCTTTTCGGTGTCAGCAGCCTGCATCTCACAGTCACTGCAGCTGCATTGAGCACCTTGTTCTTGAGTAGAGCACATCAGTGCAGATGAGTGCAAGAGGGTGCTTGCTCTGGTCCCTGAGCTCTGGAGACTGCTATTAGTGCCAAGGCTGAGCACAAAAGTCTCACCCAGAGGGAGGGTACATCATCTTCAGTAGCAGCAGGGAGCTTGTTGCAATACTCTCAGGGCCCACTGAGGTCCCTCACATCTCTCCTGGCTTGTGAGAGGATGGACCTTTGGCTGTGATTCTTCCAAGATTCTGCTGAGCTGACAACAGGTCTGCTTCTCCACAACAGGTCTGCCTTTGCAGGGAAGGCATGCCAGCAGCTTCCTCTGGGGTTGGAAAAGTCACCTCCACAGTTACTCTCTTCCTGGAGAAGCACGTTTGATTTACCTTAGGAAATTAGAGCTGCTGCATTGACCTTGATGGATCTATGCTGTGTGGTTTGTGTTTGGTTCAGGAGAGTTCAGTGGCATTTCTTAATCACTACGAAAACTGTTCACTGTGTGGTAACTTCAGCATTCCCAGCTTTGGCCTTAGAGCAGAAGCAGCAGTGCTTTTTCTTCTGTGAGTTCCTGACTTTTTTCTGGCACTTGTCAGGTGTAAGGAAGGGTGATCTTGGTGTTACATCTCCTGAGACCTTCCTCACTGTTATCCTCAGCCAGTGCCTAGGAAAGATGTAACATGAGCTGGTTTTCTATGAAAAAGAATTGTTTCTGAATGATTGATATGTGGGAATAGTCCAGTCTCTGCCTGTCTGCTTTTGTCACTGTGAGACTGAGGCATCACCTCTGTCTTCTGTCCTTATTCCCATTTTGGTGAATGGCTGGCTGAGGAGCTGCAGAAAAAGTAACAAACCCAAGAGACATGGGATGCTGATACAGCTCCCCAGGGTTTGGAGTGATGCTGCTGGGGGTGCCCAGCTTGGGTGAGCATGTCAGTGACACCCTTGCAGTGGCTCTCTCCTGCTGCCTGGGACCTTGTAGCTTCAGGGTATGAGTTAGTACCAAAATTTAACACTGTCTCAGCCAAGTCAACAAAAAACTATCACTCTCTGCTCATAACTGGAGGGAGATATGGCTCTGCTTGGCTTCTCGAGGGCTGCCTAGAATTTGTGCACAACTCCATATTCAAAGCCTCCCTTTTCCTGGTGCCTGACCACCAGGTGACAAGCAGAGGTACAAAATCCCTGTCCCCAGCCATCTGCAGAGGGAGGAGTTACCCAGGGACCAGCCCTGGCATTGCTCCCTGAAACTCCATGGAAGTCCTACTGCTTCCAGATGTCCTGCCTGTCCCTTGCATGTCCAGTCATCTTTATTAAACCTCTGCAGCAGATTGGGATTGGGAATCAAAGGGATAAAGCACAGTTTGGGGTCTGTGAATGGTTGCAGAAACCGGGGGCAGGGAGATGGGAGCAAGGAGTGATAATGTGCTAAGCCACTGCAGGTGCTGGATCAACAGAGGGTGAACCAGCCCCTTGCTGCCCTCCCACCAGCAGGCTCCCGCAGAGATGTGCAATTCAAGCAGCAGAGACCTGAGGGGGACTTGCTCCTGGCTTGTGGCACCTCCTCTTGCCCTGGTTGGCAGCCATCACTGGATGTGTTGCCTCATGCCAAACTCATTCATAGGTGCCTAATCCTCTGCAGCCAGCCAGCTCGGTGTCGAGGACTTCCTTCCAGGAGCCAGATACGTCAGTACCATTATACGTGTGGGTCTTGAGTGACTTGTGCAAGGCCAGGCAGCAAACTTGTGGCTGAGCAGGTGTTGAAAACCAGCTCTCCCAAGCTTTGAGTTGGCAGCCTTTCCACCAGGAAATCCTTCGTTTAACTTTCCACCACAGCAGATGGGCTTGCATCGATGTAGGAGGGAAGGCTCCATGCTCTTGTGCATTTCTTCCCATCCTTCTTCACCTGCTTACACTTGTCCCTGAAGACATCTTCTCTCAGGGTGAAGAAATACTGTTCAGTGTCTAGAAGAGAGTAGAAAGGGAGCTGGATTGCTTCTGGCACCACGAACTGAAGAAGAGAATGGAATAGTTTTGGGCAAGGTTCAAGGCAGGTCATGCAAGTTTGCAAACAGCTTCTGCAGGGCTCCATCAGCAGCTCTTATCCATGAGAGCCTGTCAGGTGTAGCAGCAGTTTCTCTGCCACCCCTCACACCTCTCTCCTTCAAAGCAGTCACAAACTGCCCTGGAACAGGCTGACCTTCGGGATAATTATTTCTGCTTTTTTTCCCCCCAAGGCAGGGTCACCTGAGTAAAAGCTGAGGAAAGCTAAAACAACCTCAGCTTTTTGTCAGTTTTCCTTGCAACAGTGACAGGGCTGTTGTTCTGCTCTTGGCATTAAGAAATCAGTGTTACCATGGGAGCAAACTCCCAAACAGGTGGCGATCACACACATATTAACCTGAACCAGTGCAGGAGGCACCGCGTCCCCCTGTGGATCCGCCAAGGGTAGAGGAGATCTCATTACTCTTTGTTTGTGCTCAGAGTGTGGCTGTCCAGAGGATGGTGCCCAAATAGATAAGGCTCTAGGCACAGATGTCTGGTTTGATTATTCCTTTCCTTTTGCAACAAACCATATGGTAGTTTGGGCAGCACAGATATCTGGCAATCAAAATTCCTGGGCTCCCTCCCTGACTCCACCATTCACTCATTTAATTTTCAAAGCAGTTTACATGTATCAGCAAAACTTGCTGCATTGAACCTCCCCACCTCCTTAAAACAAGAGCTCCCCCATATCACTGGAGGTACTTTTAAATACAGTCATGTCTTGCTTTGCTATCACAAAATTAGGTGCACTTAATGCTGGTAAACTACTTTGCCACCAACAGATAAAAGGCACTACAGACAGGTTGCTAATCAGTTTGATTAAGAAAAGCACCTAAAGTTTGCCACTGCTGCTGGACGATTGCAGGCTGATCTGTCTATAACCCACAGAAGTAAGATGAATTAGGCTTGATAAGCATTGTTTGGTTTCTGGTGTGTCAACCAGTGAGTGAAATGACTCGGTGTTTATATGCCAGGTCACAGTGAAAAGTTTCTTGCGATTGGAAATGATTAGGCACACTGATTAATGCTTCCAGGGCTCTTTGATCCAGAGCTGCCAGTTGGAATGAGTCTTGCTGCACGGAGACATCCCAACTGCCTGGTAACAAAAGTGCAGGGGGTAGAAAATGGACTGAAAAAATGCAGGTGGGGATGGGAAGGCTCTGCTGTAAGATGTGCTCTTTTTCTTTGGGCTCCGGGCTTGCATTCTTTGAACCATCTTCTTATTCCTGGAAGTCAAGGCAGTTTGTAACTCATATTGTGCTTGTCAGGTTTATTCATTTTAGAGAAAATGTTCAGGAAGATTGCCAAGTCATCTGAACTTCCAGCACTGATAAGGACCTCAGGGTCTGCTAAGTTAAGAAGACAACATCCCAAGTCCACGAAAAGCTTTAGAATACAGCACTTCCAGGGTAGTCTCAACTCTTGTGAAATTGTTACTTCTCTCAGTGTGCAGGTGGCATCTCCTTGTGATGGATGGTCTCCTTTCAGCCATAGGAATTCCCATTTTAACCCTCAATTAGAATAACTCCTTTTATCATAGGTGAAATATTTGAAATGATTTCTTATGACAGGACACAGGAAGATTTGCTTGAGTAAGAGGTAGATTCCCCAACATTTCTTACCATTCCCACACCAGCACACCATTTGTCTTCATTATTTTGTGTCTCATTCATGCCATGGGTTCTATGGTTGAACCTTGCACCAGCTGGGGGACATGAACATGGCTGCATGCCCACTACATTTTCTTTACAGCCAGGACTGCACTGATTGTCATGCTCACTTGTCACACCTGGCTGTCCATACTTGGTCCTTCTGGGGTGATTTCTGGTCCTTTTTTTGTGTGATTTGTGGATATCAGGATAGGATTTCAATAAAAATCAAGCATAACCTGTTAGTAGGTGATGAATGGTAACTCCAAATAGCTCTGGAAAATTAGGAGTGAAGACTCTAAAATGTCTGGATGTACTGTGGAGCTGAATTGTGGGTGTCCACACCAAGGGCATTAAGCCATTCTCAAATCACTGTCTTCTCTCTTGTTTTAGGAGAGCCCCAGATCTATAGCAACTTACCTCAGAATTCTCCTACTGCAAACCCAGGTGGTTCAGCAGCTCCAGCTGCTTTTGTTCAGGGAAAGGAGGAGGCAGGAGCTGGGGCTGGCCCCTTGTCAGGCTACCCGAGGACATCTCTGGTGCTTGTGGCCAGCTCTGCCTGAGCCCTGCCTGAGCACTGAGCATTCTGGCCATCCCACATTTCTCTTGGCTTGTATTTGTGCTGAAGACTCCTGATATTACAAAACATGGGAAAACTTTTTGAGATACTGGAAGTGTTCAGGGGCTGAGAAACCAGTGGAAGAAAACTGGTGCCCACCCATGTAGGTCAGTGTAAGGAAGAAATCCTAATGCTTTTTAAACCAAACTTCAGTTTCTTTGGGTATGTCTATGTTTTCCATGTTTTGCCAATCACAAGATCTTGCAGAGACCAGCACTGACAACTTCTTTGACATGGGAGGCCCATGTCCCATCTTCCACTTGAGTCACACCTGGCCAGACACCTTCCCACCACCATTTCATATATCCAGAGATTATCTGTGCTTTCCCTGTACTCATAGGCCTGGGACCACAGCTGTCCCCATACAAAGCCTCTGCTCTCTGATAGCACATGAACTCACCCCAAGCTGGGCTGGCAGCTTTGGGATTTCTCTCCTCTGCTGAGCTGTTTTCACAAAATGCATTGAAAGCTTGCCATCTTAGCTTACCATGTCAGTTCTCTGACATGTTTGGTGCCTTCTGGCCAATGTATTCAGCAGAGGGAGGATGGACAGACAATGAATTCCTGGATATTTTTGTGGGGGAAATTGGTATAAATATGAGTATACAAGAGTTTCCTGCATTTGTGAAGTTGTGCTTCATACTTGTATTCAAACCTATGTTGTCTTCCTGTGCATGGTCTGAATCAGCTAATATCTAATTGCAGATCATTTTAATAAAAATAGGTGCCTACTCTGCCTATTTTCCAATTTCCAGGTGGCTCCATTGTGGCTGCTTGGCTGCTGCCTGCCCTGCTGCTAATGTTCCTGTTTTCCTCCCCAGCTTGTGTGGCTGCCCTGGCATGTTGCTGGGACAGGGAGCAGTGACGCAGGGTCTCCTGGAAGTCTGTGGATGGGCCAAGTAAAACACAGCTGGGCATCATCCCAAGTACCTCAAAGACTGCTGCACTGAGTAGGTTCCCATTGTCTCAGACATCTCATTGTACTTAATAGCAATGGAGGTGTCTGTATCGCCCTCATTTACAGCAAGCGAGTGGCTGGGGCCATGAAAGGGAGGAGTTTGGGGTTAGACATGCCTCCAACTCCTTGGGGTAGGAATCACTGCTTATCAGAAGCAATTTTGGAGAGGTGTTTCAGGTGTGGCTTCCATGCTGGAGACAATTTCAGGCTGGTGGAAGCCATCCCAGAGGTGTGTGACAGCACTTGGTGGCTTCGACACTTCCCCAGCCACATGCCCCCTGGCAGTGCTCCAGCTCATTGCCAGCCTATTTGCTGCCTGGCTTGCCTGCCACACGCAAGACAAGAAAATGTTTATCAGCGTGACTGATAGACCCATCCTCCTTATCATGTTCATCTCGGTATGGATCCTAGCAGGGAGGCAGTGAGTGGGATGATGAGTTCAAAGGTGCCTAGCCAAAAAGTTAGCCAGCTCAATTATTTGCCTTGTTATTGCTACCACAGTTAACCCTTTGGCTGCTGGCTCCGGAGTAGGGTATCTGTGAGGATCTGTTCATCTCTCAGGCTCATGGCTCGAGCCCTGACAAGTGTTTTGTTAGGTGAGACCTTTGGTTGCAGCCAGTTTTGCCTTTACTGGTAGTAGTTTCTTTTTTTCCTCTTTCATGAGAGGTTGCTGCTCCCAGTGAGAGGCTGGGCCATGCATGCCTGGCCATGCCCATGAGGTGAAGGGCAGGGCTCATGCTCCAGGCTGGCATGACGTGGAGAATAAAACAAAACTGTAGTTGGGGAGGCGTGGCCAGCAAGAAGCACAAGACTCACAGCCCCTCTGGGCAGGGTTAGACTGGGCAGACACCTGGCAGAGAGAATGTCTGCCAGGTGTCCAGGTTAGGGTGCAACCCAGGGCATTAAAAGTCTGGGTGTGTGAGAGCTGGAGCTGCTGTTTGAGTCAGTTAGAGATCTTAAAGATCTTTGTATGTTGGACATCCATGGAAAGAAATTGCTGTTGGATCCTTACTGCTCTCTACGCCAAATTGAAAAGCTCAGGACAAGTTTTTCCCCTGACATAAGTGCATAGCAAAGTATCTGTTGAGAAGATATGGGAAGGAATCACAGAAACAGAGACAAGACTAGGTTAGAAGGGACCTCCTGACACCATCCAATCCAGCTTTCCTTTAAAAACAGGGTCTTACTAGGTTAGTTGAGGCCAAATCAATTTACATCTTTATTATTTCTAGTGAGAAAGATTCCTCTCTCTTTGGGCAACTGATGCTAATGTTGCTCTCACAGAAAAAAGGTTTTTGATATTCACATGGAACTTCCCTAGAACTTCCCTAGTAGCCAGTTTTGCCCATTGCTTTTTCTCATATCATAGTACATGCTTGTGAAGAGATGTGGAAGGCAGTGATTTGATTTCCCCACACTAAATCTTCCTCGCTGAAGTCTGAGCAAGTGAAAGTCATTCAGTCATAAAGTTCTCCACTCCCCTAATCTTTTTGGTCCCCTCTGGACCATCTCCAGGTTTTCAATGTCTCTTGAACTGGGAAGAAAGAAACTGAACAGTGTGTTCCAGGAGGAGCTGAATAGAAAGATCACATCTCTTCACATCACATCTCTTCATCTACCAGCAACAGTCTCACTAATTCAGCCCAGGATGCTGTTGACTGTCATTGCTGCCAGGATATTGGCTGGCTCATGTTCCTCCTGCTGTCTGCCAGGGCACCCTGTGCCTTTTCAGCAGAGCAACTGTCCAGCCAGCCAGTGCCCAGCTGGTGCTTCTGCTTAGGATTATTCCATCCCAGATTCAGGACTTGACATTTATCTCTGCTGAACTTCATGTTAAACTTCATTCTTGTTGGCCAGATCTTGACAGCCCATTGAGGTCTCTATATGGTGAATTTTTTTTTCTTCCAGAGCTGCTTCTTCATCCAGCTTAGGCTCATCCTCAAATTTGGTGACAGTGCATTCAGGCCTATCTTCCAGACCACTTAGAAAGCTGAATTGCATTGACTTCAGAAGACATTAATTTGTGCCCAGCTGCCAGCATGACTTTGAGCCTTTTAACTTTTGAGCCTCTGAACTCAACAGTTTAGTCAGTTCCTCAGGCATTTTGTGTTTCATATGCCTAGACCATGTCTTACTGACTTGTCAAAAAGGATTTTGAGGGAGGCTGTGTCAAACACTTTGTGAAAATCAAGTTGATGATGATATCCACTACTTTCAGCCACTGAGCAGGGTTTTTGGTCAAAGCAGGATTGACCCTTCAGTTTGTCCATGTTGGCTTTTCACATTCAGGTTCTTGAAATGTGTTTGCATGGAAATAGCTTTTGTAAGGACCTGTTCTGCAGTTCTCTCAGGGTCTGAAACAAGGCTGATTGGTCTGCAGTTTCCTGGATCTTCTTTCTGGCCCTTTCTGTAGGTAGACATAGTCTCTAGACTGGAAGATCTCTCTCCACAAACCTGTTTATTCTTTTGTTTTTCACTTCCTCAGGGTGGGGAAATAAGGTGTTTGATACCAGACAAATGGCTTAAAGCACTATGGATGTCAACATGCATAGAACAGAAGATCCTTGTGTGTTGATACCTGTGCAAATTAGTTAAAGAGAACAAAATCTGGGCTGGAAAGGAAATAGTTCATGGTGGCATTTGGTCATAACCTAAATTCCAAATTCTTGTTGATGGCGAAATAATCCTGTCTGCAATTCTAGGTGAACTAAAGTGCAGTTCTGTGTAGCTTGAGCTATCTTTAATACTACTCTTCTAAGTTTAATTTAGCAGGGACTGGTCTTTGGTCTTGCATGCATTCAGCAGTCAGGATTTTGGCCTCTCTGCCAGTAGCTGGAAGCCAGGTCTCTCCAAGAAACGAGCTTGGTTTCAAGGGACTGTTGTGATACTGCATGCAGCTGACTGGTGTCATCTGATGGAGTCCTTAGATGGAGTTGTCACCTCGTGAGATTAGCTAGAGTTCTTTTAAGTGTGTGTAAGGTATGTGTAAAGTTTGAACAGACACAGCAATAAGCTGCCTAGTTTTGGTCTTACATTGATATAAATAATTATATATATCCACATATACATTGTTTAGTCAATGCAGTTATTTGGCATGATTACCCCGAAATACAGCAACATGCCCTCTCAGACTTCTTTCATGTTCCAAAACAAGATATACAGTTTTAATTCAGACTTTCCAATTTTGAAGTGTTAGGAGTCGTCCATCAATACTATAGTAGTTGTATTGATACCTGAGTTTTACATTTTAATAATCACCACAATAAATAGGAAATACCTTCTCTCCACTGCCAAAGGATGAGTTTTTCTGCTCCAGCTCAACAAGTGCCCAAGTCCTTCATATATCAGCTGTTGGGGGCTCACAGCCTGGCTTCTGAGAAGAGCAAGAGGAGGATAGCAAGGGCTGAATAGGAAGTTGTTGAAAGGCCAGGAAGGTTCATGTGAGGCCTCTGAATGGGATTATCCTCCTAGGCAGTGACTTGTTAACATTCAGCTGCACATGGGTGTCCTTCTTCTGCACCCATGGATTCAAATGTTAAGGTGTAATTGTAATTACAATTGTAATTGTAAAGCAATTGACATGGCATTGCTTAGCACTGTTATTAATATTCACAGAGCAGGTAGCTGTGTGTCTTCCCTTTAGAAGAGTGGAAACCCAGCATCCACCCAGACTCTGTAAATACCAACCCCAAGTTATTTCAAGATGTTAAGGAAAGTGTTTTTTATTCCTAATTTTTTGATTACCTGTTTCTGGTCTGTCTGGAAAGGGTCAATAGAAAACAAGATTCCATTGGAACATTGAAACATGTCATTGCAACACCCGTGGTCAGTGTTATGTGTGTACACATTAATAGTCAGCTGAGTCTAAATAAACATGCAGAATGCCTGGTTTTGGCCGAGCAAGAAGTGGCAGCTGCTTGCACTGCTGTTTCCTCCATGCTGTGGGCTACCTGCTGGCTTTGCAGAGGTGGAGCAGTTTGGGGTGTCATTTCCTTGAAGCACTTTGTCATGCCCTCCCACAAGCCCTCCTTCCCTCTGTCTGGCTCCTTGCATGTTTTCAATGAAAGGTTCTGTTCACATAAGCGGCAACTCAAATTATCTCTAAATAAACCAGTTTATGTGGAGAGTAATTCATGAGCACTTCCAGCATGGTGATAAATGACAGGCAGGGCCAGTGTGTACAAGGTGGCCCCGCAGGCATGTGTCTCAATCAAGTTGTGCAAAGATACTGTAGAAGGGTGTGGAAAAATGGCCTTAAAATTAAGAGCTGTGTCTTTTGGAGCTGTAGAGACCAGATTGTAAGTGACAGACATGCAGTATTTGATCTGTCACTTCCTGTCTAACATTTTATTTCCAGAACTTGACACATACTTCAAGTTTTACCCCCTGTTCCTCCCCATGTGACTACCAGTCTACTTCTTGAAAAAACAACAGTCAGCATAGCCTCTTAAAGACACCTTAAACAGCCAGGTGTGATAAATAATTACAATAAATTTGAAAAGTTTATGTACTAACCAGCTGTTTTCCAGCCCTTGCTGACAAAATTCTTGAAGTGCAGTTGAGCTTCGCCTTAGCAGATGCTATTCTTGTGTGATGACCAAGAGAGAGAGGAAAAGTCTACAAATGCAAGAGCTGAAGGAGGTTGTGGCCAGGTTTATCCCAGCAGGTTAGACAGGGACAAGGCATAACCCTGGGCACTGGTGTATACCTGTCCATTCTGTAAGCTGTTAGCACAGCTCCAGCCCCAGCTTGAGCTTCTCCAGACAGTGCCTGGGCACCATCTGTGGATGCACACTGGCCAGAGGCCATCACCAGTAGTAATTAGGCAGCAGACACCTTGTTCTGGGGATGGGAAAGGGCTTGGCTGTCTGGATATGAGCAGTTGGGTAGTTGAGTAGTTGATTCCAGTGCCAAGGGATGGAACCAACTTGTCTTATTTACATGTATGGACAAGATGAGGGTTTTGGAATACAGGAGCCTCAATGGTGAGGTAGAAAAGATGTGAATTTTGCAATTTCTATTAAGCTTTCAAATACTGCTTTCAGATACTGTCTCTTGAAAATCCTGTGCTTGCTGAATTTCTATTATTGCTCTCACATGGCAAGGAAGGGAAGAAACCCTTGGACGTCAGATAGTAGACATAAAATAAAGTGGAAGAAATGTTAAATGACAGGAGGAATTTTGTTTGGTCTACAAACTAGGAGATTCATAGATCACTGATGTTATAATTAGAAAGTGTGGTGTATCTTCCTATTTGTGAGAAGGGGAAGAAGCACAGAAGGAAAGACAGCTCAAAAATATGGGACTATTAAACACAAATAGTATGCAACCTGATGTGCAGTGTTTTGCTTGTCACATAGTAGTGTCTGTGCTATGTCTGTACACATCTCTACTAGTGTCTGTTTTATTATTAGGAATATTAAAAGGCATCCACTGTAGTCAAACTGGTCATGCTTGTTGTTGAAAAATTACTGGTTTTCTGCCCTTAAAATTCCAGCGGAAATTGATCTGATTCAATGCTGTAAAGCTCATCCTTCATAAACCAGCAGTACTGCAATCCAGCACAGATGAATTATAGATTAAATGTATTTTTGCCCATTATTTCAATGCATTGCCTGTACTGGGGAACCCAAAATTGAACACAGTGCTCTAGATGCAATCTCACAAGTGTCAAATAAATGGGAATTAAAACTTCTTTAACTTGCACAGTTGTCTCGCCATATTAAATAGCCTGGTTGGTCAGCCAAGAGATCAACAGCACTCTGCTTGTCTACACCAACATGATGGGTTATCTCCAGAGGAGCTGGCATGTCTTTGGCTAAGACACTAAGCTAAGAAATGTGCCTGGCTTGAAAAGTAGAAGGTGGACCTTGGTCCTGCCTGTTTGTACCACACTGATGTATCTTCGTGTCCTGTTGAAATGGAGTCCCATGAGCATAAGACACATGGTCTAAACAAAGAAGGAGGCAACAGGGATTAGTTTGGTATCACAGAGGGCTTAGTGTACAGGATGGTTCTCTCTCTGTCCTGAATGTTCATTGAACCTATTTCTGTATTCATTCAGGTTTTTTTTAATCTCCCGCTTTTTAATAAAACTAGACCTGAAGAATCGTGCAGCTTGACTGAGGTGCTGGGCTGTAGCTGAACCGCTCTGGTTAGTGGAGCTGCCTGAGTGTTTGCAGTGTTTGCAGGATGGTAAAGTGAAGAACCATGTGAATAAATGAGTAGCCCTAAAGTGCTGAAAATAAATGCGCTGTGATGGATCAAGAGGCTGGGGGAAAAAATGCCCCCTCTCCCTGCCTGCATCCTCTCACCCCCCATCCCTTCATTATGCTCACCAGGGTGGGTGAGGGGGGTCCTTACAGGGGGAGTTACAAAGCTCCTGTCGTGTTCCCAAATGTGCACTGAGCAACCCGAGTGCCTCCTCTCAGGCTGGGAGGTCTGAGCTCTGCCAAGAGCTTCTGGCCCCCTCTCCCAGCCTGGTGCTTTGAAAGAACATCCTTGGCTCCATGACACTGCAGGTCTGTTGACTGTGTTTGTGTGTTTGTGCTGGGATGTGTGCACAACTCAAAAGCAGGTCTGAGGTTAAGTAAAGCCCCTTGCTTGGTCGGGAACCTTGATCAACATGTCACAGAACGTGACAACTTCCATAATGGTTTTTAAAAAATGCGTACAGGGTTAGCTGCCAGCTTCCAGGGAGGGATATGTGTAACCACTTGAAATATTCAACTTCTGAGCTCTGCCATCTTCTCCACAGCAGTTTTGAAGACTTTGATTTCTCTATGCCAGGCAGTTACTGTACTATTTTTCTGACATCTTTGAGTTTTGTGTGGCTTACTGAAGGTTTTTTTTGTGTCAGAGACTTAATATAGGCTTTAGTGTTCTGGTTTTTTTTTTTTTGCTAGTGTTCTATCTGAAAAAGAATTTTTGGGATTTAAAAAATTTTATTTCTTTCTCTATTTATGTCTCTCTTTATGGGCAGATATTTAATACTTTTGAAAATGTGCTCCTTTTATCATGTCTTAATTCAGGCATCTAAAACCATGGCCCACTTTGAATTTAGGTCAAACAGCCCTGCCATGACAGGACACGGTTTTCTCTTGGTTGAGCACACAGCTTAACTCAGCACAGATGAGTTTGGAGGTGAGGGTGATAAAAAGATACCTAGGCTGCAAGGACGTAACTAAGTTTTGTCCTACGTCATTACTTGTAGCATACTCTTGCGTCCCTCCAAGACAGGGGATGTGGATTGTGCTCTTTATGAAAGGCCTGTATAAGCATTAAATGCTGGAAATAAAAAGATGATTGAGAATGATTTTGCAGTCATTATAGACTTTCATTTCAAGAGCGATGTGACTGCTGGGGTCAGTAATAATAACCAGAGTAGGCCTACATTTCTCATATACTCATAAACAAGTGATGGAGTCTTTATATAAAAAGAAGAATACTTAGGATGCACAAAGATTTTATTAGAGAGGCAGAAACCCAGAATGATACCATAACCTGCCCACTACCTTCTAAGGTCACAGTCACTGCTTTTGCCAATATTGGAGTAATTTGCCACCAATCTCATTTGTTACATACTTTTCAGTAATGTACTTCTGCTACACATCTTGAAAGAGTTTAGTGGTAAACTGGTTCTCCCATCCCCTCTGGACCTCAGTGCAAATGAGAAATGAGAATCAGGTGGAAGGCTTATGAAAACAACTATTTTTGGCTTAGCCTTGATAGGACAACAATTTCGTTGTTCTGCTCTGATATTGTCAGCGTGACTCATCTGTAGAGGACTTTCTGGCCCATTTTCTTTAAAAATGTGGTCTATCCAGAGAACTGACTGGGACTTTCTAAAACTGGAAATACTGAAAAAGAACAGTTTGCCCGTTCGTTGAATGTTGGTTAACCCTTTCTGTACCACCTGACCTCAAAATGCAGAATATGTGCTATCTTATGCAGGAAGGTGCTTTCAACCAGAAGTGTGTTTTTTGGACTTTTTTCCCCTTTTTTTTCCAGGTGGATGGGCTTTATGGAGAGACCAGGTTTTAAGGCTGTTGTGGAGACTTAGATCACGTATCCTCAGAGACTGAATAGCTGATGGCTGCTTCAGCATGGGAAGAATGGTCAAGACTGGATAATGCCACTCTGAACCTCACCTGGCTTCTGGTGGTACCTTGCAAGCCTTGGGTTTCAGAGAATTTTCCTGGTCTTTGAGATTCCCAAAGCACGAGGACTGCTGCTGAGCTTTGAGGGTGCCACCCCTGACATAAATGTGATGTTCAGCAAGAGCCTGGAGATATTTCCTCCTTTAGTCCCTTGGTGTCTAGGATGCAGAAATGCCACTTTTTCCCAAACTGGGAAAATGTTTTTTTCAGTCACTCAAATACCAGAAAACAATGCATTGGAGAGCAAGGGTTAGGGGGAGCTCAGTCCTGCCATGCTCCCAGCGAGGACATGTCCCTTTTCACTTGTGTGTTTTCTCTGAAGCTACAAACTCAGCTTGCAGTTGGATAAGTGCTTACTTAATGTAACACTGAATAATCTCTCTTTCAAGGGCTTTAAGTACTACGTTGAATTAGGACTTTAGAAAGGTAAAAGCCAAGCTCCCTTTGCCAAGAGGAGCTTCCATTCATAGAGTCAGGAAGTGATCCAACATGGACATCGATGACCTGCTTTGTTATCTGTATGTGAAATCTGGCTCTGCTGAAACCAGTGGCAAAACTGCCATTGATTTTAAGAGTTCTGAATTTCATTTTCAGTATGTTTATTTGCATTACTTTTTTTCCTATAATGTTTGATATGTAGGCATAGAGGTCAGGGGGAAAATACTGATACAATTGAGACACACTTTCCATTATGGTAAGGGGTGGGCAGATGTCACTGTGGGAAGATACATTCAGAGTTTTGCCTGGCACTTTGAAATGCTTTTAATTTTTTCCTACCTGCCATGCTTCAGCCTTCCAGGTTAAACTTGTATATGAATGGTAGGTCTTATTATTTTGAGTGTTCTGTGTTTTTCTTCATTATTTAGATACCAAACTTGCAAAACATTCCTCTTAGCAGGGCAATTCATCCTCTACTGGATCTTAATGAGACCAGTGCTTCCTTTCCTGGGAAAGTATGTGCCTCTGGTGAGAGAAGCCCACCTTTCACAAACCACAGCTAAAGCTTGTTTTTTCACTGAAGCACAAAGCACACAGCCACTTGCAAATGTCAGTTTTCTTAGCATGAAGTAAATATACATTTTGTAAATGTGGGACAGACCTGTTTTGATGTGGGTCTTGAACAGGGCTTCAGTATAGAGATAGCTCATCTTTAATTTATAGTTACATGCAATTGAACCATTCCAGGAAAAGCCATCTTGTGGTTTTGGGCCAGGGAAGAAGAAGAAGGAGGATAAAAACCTTCTGCCCTAAACAGTAACAGATAGGACAGGCAGAACAGATCTATGTTCCCTAAGTGAAAACTTAGTAAAGGGCTCTTGAAATGTTTATTATTACTAAAATCACTGAGAGATTTGTGCTGAAACTCTTTCAGGTATCAGCCCTCTTTTCTCTGGGAAAAAAAAACACTCATTTTTTTGTTTGCTACCTCTGTTGCCACAAGCAAATTTAGTTAAATTCAGCTGGCAGCCAGTCACCAGTGGTGTTCCTCAGGGCTCAGAATCAGGGCCAGCTCTGTTTAATCTCTTTACCAATGATATTGATAAGGGGATCGAGGGCACCCAGACAGTTCATGGACAACATGGATCTGGATGGGACTGTTGATCTGCCAAAGGGTAGGAGGGCTCTGCAAAGGGATCTGAACAGGCTGGGTTGGTGGGCCAAGGCCAATTGTATGAGGTTCAACAAGGCCAAGTGCCAGGTCTGCACCTGGGTCACAGCAACCCCTGCAGTGATACAGGGTGGGGGCAGAGGGTCTGGAAAGCTGCCCAGAGGGAAAGGACCTCTGATCAGCAGTGGCTGAACATGAGCCACAGTGTGCCCAGGTGGCCAAGAAGGCCAATGGCACCTGGTCTGCATCCAAAAGAGTGTGGCTAGCAGGGCCAGGGCAGTGATTGTCCCCCTGTGCTGGGGGGACAATCCTGTATTCAGTTTTGGGCCCCCCACTGCAAAAAAGACACTGAGGGGCTGGAGTATGTCCAGAGAAGGGCAGTGGAGCTCTGGAAGGGGCTGGAGCACAAGTCCTGTGAGGAGCAGCTGAAAGAGCTGGGGGTGTTAAGCCTGGAGAAAAGGAGGCTCAGGAGAGACCTTGGCACTCTCTGCAACTCTGTGCAAGGAAGTTGTAGCCAGGTGGGGGTCAGTCTCTTCTCCTAAGTAAGAAGTAATAGGACAAGAGAAAATGAACTCATATTGTGCCAGAGGAGGTTTAAATTGAATATTAGGAATAGTTTATTAATTTTTTCACTGAAAGGGTGTTCAAGCATTAGATCAGGCTGCCCAGGGAATTAGTGAAGTCACAATCCCTAGAGAGACTTAAAAGATGTGTAGATGTTGCACTTTAGGGACATGGTTTTGTGGTGGACTTGGACGTGCTGAGTTAACAATTGGACTCAATGATCTTAGAGGTCTTTTCCACCCTAAAGAATTCTATGATTTTAAGATGTAGACACAGGTTTTAATCTGATTATGAGACCTGCTGCAGGAAATTCTCTGGCCTCTCTTGTGCCCAGTTTTGACTTAGTTGATTCAAAATGACATTTTTTGACCTGAAAATTCATCAATCATTTGAATCCAGCAAAAACTTTAGTGGTGTGGTATCTTTATAGAGGTAGTTACAGTTTTTTAGGAATCAAAAACATTTTATAAGCAGTAATTGGTTGATGCTTTCCTTCTACACATATGCAGCCACCACCAAGGATGAGGAATATCTTGGGTTTTTGTAGGGGATATCAATGGCAAAGATGTATGTAGGCAGCACAAAATCTTTTAAAAACCTGAATTTTATCATAACTTTGTATTCATGCTTCTAAAAGAGCTGTGGGATTTTTTAGGGGTCTGTACCTGTTGGTCTGTAGAGCAGCAGCAGTAATTGTAAAATTATAGCATTATTAAGGTTGGAGAAGACCCCCAAGATCATCAAGTCCAACCTTTCACAGAACACCACCATGCCCAGTAAACCATATCATGATGTTCCATGTCTACCCAGGGGTGGTAATTCCATCACTTCCCTGGGGAGCCTTCCAATGCTTGACCATCCTTTATGTAAAGAAATTTTTCCTAATATCCAACCTCACCCTCTTTTAGTGTAACTTTGGGTCATTTCCCAACGTCCTTTTGCTAGTTTTGATTGTTTTGGGGTTAGTGCCTCTGTACCAAGAGTGGGAACACATTGCTGGATTATCATTACCTTGGCCTGGAATATCTCAGTGCTCTTTGATCAGCATTTGGGTGAGAGAAATTTCATTGTAGCCCTTGTGTGGTACTGCAGGTGCCTGTGTACTGCAAACAGAGCTGCGTGTCTGGCAGCACTGCCTGTGTGCCTGTCCCTGCTCAGACCAGCTGGCTCGGGCTCCTTGCTGGAGGCTCTTACCTCAAGCAGCAGAGTTGTTCTGCACCGTGGTATATTCAGCCTTAACTGATGCTCACCACAGCTTCTCCTGAAAGGAAAATGGGCCCTTGGCTAATCTGTCAGAAATTGGCTTGTCCTAAATCATAGGAGCAAAGAAAAGCTTGTAAGGAAACCTCTGCACTATCTCTATCAGCCAGCCTTTCCTTATTTCTATTGCATGCAGCCTTGCTTATGTCTCTGACACTTTAAGGAATACTCAAATTCTGCCCTTCTTTTCTTTCTCTTCAGACCAGCTGTCCTTGGGTGTGATCCAGACCCCAGGCAGTTTGAGGGAAGTCTTCCTAATGCTGTTGGCTGTCTTTGGATCTTCTCCATCGCTTGCATTGCTCTTCAGTAAACCAGAGGCACATGTGTGACTTCTTCTTAGAAAGCTGATCTCAGGAAGGTAGAAATCAAATCATTCCAGTGTAGCACCTCAGTGCTCTGCTTGAAACAGATCTGTCAGAGGGTTGCTCACCCTGAAGAAGGAGATAACAATGGAAGGATTTTATCCTGAATATAGTATGGTTTCTAATATTTTCTATTAAATACAATCCAATAGAAAATATAAAAGAGAAAGGAATCTTTTTGTGAGAGAAGAGCTTGCTCAAGCTTAAGAAGAGCTTGCTTTCTCTGCCCCACAGACAAATTCCACAAGATAACTACTTACACCCCTAGTTGATAGGATAAAAGACCTAAAAACGTAGCCAGATCTCACAATTTAATATATGCCAACAGGGTGAAGTGGACCAAAAGTCTAAATCAGTACTGTCAAATAACTGTAGGAACTAAGGAAATAGGCTTCAAACCCTTACTCCAGAATCAGCAACAAATGTGGATTTTTGTTTTGGAATCCCGTTTTTGTTTGTTGTGGTTAAGTACTATTATTATTATTATTATTATTATTATTATTATTATTACCCTTATGACTGAGGGGGAGTCTTTTATGGAAATAGGAATATTGCTTATTTCTGGCCTACTGGGCTGAGGTCTAAATTAAAAGAGCAGCTGATTTTCACAAGTCCCAAAGGGATGGAAGAGCATAAAGGGAAAGGGTGCTTGATGGTGGCTTCATGGAGAAACAGGAAAAGCACAGAGAGAGCCCCCAAGGAGCAAGATCCATGGTGTCTCCCCCGTGCCAGGGTTTGTGCCTGGGTCACAGTGCCATTGTACCCCAACTTTGGAGCAAAGCATCACTGAAGAGGACAGCATGTGAGAGCTCCTGGCCAAGCGTGGCTGGGAAAAGGGACAGCTGCCACCAGTCGCTCCAGGTGGATGGGATCAGCTGCTGAGGGAGCACCTGAGCTGGAAATGGGCATCTCTAGAACTCCAGCTGTTCTCCATCAGCTCTGAGCCAGGTGCACAGAGTGGTTCTGGTCCTCAGATCAGCTGGGGCTTTCCAAGAGCCTTCACTGGAAGAGGGCAAGCTGAGAAAGCTGCAAAGTCAGCTTCTGCTTGGGCTGGGAAAGAAAAATTCAAAAAGGGCAACAGTGTGGGCTGGGTGGCAGGTTTGAGGGGTAGAAGATAGTGTGATAGGGAGTGTAGCTTGGTGCTCCCCTCCTTTCCCTAAAGAAAGGGTTTCATGTCTTTAATTTGGTACTTTATAAAATGAATCTTGCCTGTGTCAGAGGCAATCTCAGCTGCTCTCCTCGGTGTCTGGGCTGGGACTAGTGCTGATTTTACTGCTGCTCTTCACCAGAGACCTTTGGAGGCTAAACCTGACCCTATGAGGCTCGGCAGAGATGTTATAGGTGAGTTGTGTCTCGCTTTTGAAGGCCTTGCTGGAACCTCTGGATGCTACTGAAATGATTGCATATAACAGCAGCAAGGGCTTCTTCTCATCTCCTTGTGCTGAGTGGGGTGTTCCCTTTTGGAGATGGCATCTGTGTCTGCCTGGGAGAGCATGGATTTAACACAGGGGAATGACTGGAAACTGGTAACAAATGTGTGGATACTCCACTCCCTTTCCACAGAAAACCTGAAATCTAATAAAAATGTTTATTTATTTATTTTGGCTTGCTTTCAGGTCTTATTATATTACAGCTACAGATATTTAATTAAGAAGAATATTGAATGTGGTCAACTTTGTTCACACTAAGGATGTGATGAAAACAGCAGATACTGTAAAAACCCTTAAATAGTTCTGTCAGCCTCCTGAAAAAGAGGAAATTTGGTGTTTTCTAACCAGTATTTTCCTATCATGGAATAGGATTGGGGGATTTTAGAGGATGATAAATTGACTATGAGTCAGTGGGGCAACATTGTGCTAAAGGAATCTGCTCTACTGTACTGCAGATAATGTGGTGTGTACTTAAAAAACTAAATAAAAACTAGCCAGACATTAAATTTTCCACTTTCTTCAGCACTGACTGGGCCACAGGATGCAGTTTCAGGCTTGATGTTGTAGAATTGGGCAAGTGACAGTCCAGAGCTGAGACCACAGCAGTTGTGGAAAATGAGAATCAGTTTTTTTTGCAGAGGAGGGTGCTTCCCTTACGGGAAGAGAAGTGAGTGAGGACACCTCATGACAATTGCACACATAAACACTCAGACTCTGCAGCAAGACACCTGATCTTCAGAGATGCTCTATCTCCAGGACCTGCTCTGTATGGGATTAGAACTGCAAAGAAACAGCAAATAGAATAGCATGAGACCATCTCAAAGTGAAAATGGAGACCCAGCTGCTTTGTTCTGCTTGTTGCTTTTGCATCTGTTCCACATTGCAAGAAGGCTGATACCAATCCCTGTATAGCCAAATACAGTCAGCAAAGCATCCTGTGTGGTTTAAACCCAAATTCTTGGGGAATTAATCTGAGGGGTGCATTTTTACTGTCTTGACTGGCAAACAGCTGATCTGATGAGAAGCCCGTGGTAGTGCTGAAAACTCACAAAATATTTCAGAAGCATCTTAATTCATGGCCCATATCTCAGTTTGTGCCTCCACATTACCGGTTGCTCTACACTAAATCTTTCAGCATTTGGGCCTAGCTGCCTCTGCTTTTTTCAACAATAAAGATGAGGGTCACTTCTTCTCATTAGTCAGTAGAAGCTGAATTTAAAAATAACATGCTGATGTTGCTGCATGGAAGTGTTTAAGTTGGATTAAATATGAGAGAAAAATAAATCTGGGAAGAGCAAGCTACAAAGGGAATTGCAGATTCACTTTCCAGACTGAAAGATTTTTAGGGCAGAGACTGTCAATTATTTTGTTTGTACAACAATCCCAACATAAATGGGGCCTCTAGCTGCTTCCACAATGTAAATTATTGATGCTGTTAGGATCCACAAAAGACATGTGCCTAGCTTTAAGCACAGGGGTAATAAAACTGACATCTAAAGGAATCCTTTAACTCAAAGTTAAATATGTGCTTATGTTCTTTGGGCTTCTGATGGCTGCTTTAGGGCTTATGTGCCTGATGGGATCTTGAAGTAACAAAGCTGGCTGTGCTGTGATAGAGGATGCAGGTTTGACTAGACACACTTGGGAATTCCACATGATTCTTATGACCTCTCAGAGAAACTCAGCCCTGTTGACTTCGCAGGAAACCACTTGAAATGGATAGTCCTTATCCAAAGTGACAGCAGGTACACGATCCTAATAAAAGAAACATGGACCCGTTGCACATCATCCTGTCATTGAGTTACCTTGCCTGACAAAGGAAGGCGGCACGCCGTGATCTGAAAGAGATCTGAGGTGACACGGCACCTGACAAGACATCCTGGCTGATGGAAAGGGAGCTGGGAGGCAGGGAGAGTGGGAAAGAAGTGAGGCTGGAACTACCTGGAGCTGTGGCTCAGCACTTGCTGGTTCCTCTGTGTTGGGTGGTCTGTGCCTGCGCTCCCAGCGACAGATGTGAGTTCCTGAGGTGCCAAAACGAGCCTTGACTAAGCAGAAACAACAAAAAGGAAAAACTGAAGAGAAATAAAGTGAATAATCCTCAGGCTCTGGGGCCTTTTTGGCTCCCTATTTTTCACCCCAGCCTTCAAACAACCTGTGCTACAGCAGATTGCGAGCCCGTACAGATTTGCTAGCCTTTGCCTTTTGGAGAAAGCCTTGCTTTCTTTTTGGCTGAGTCTACATTCCTTTTCAGCCGTCTCTCTCTCTTGGAGGTGGAAGTTTGCAATGTATTATGCATGATGTTATTTAAACTGCTACGTTGATTGTGGTTTCTATGAGGGCCTTTTTTTTGACGTTGTTCTTTTTGAATGTATCCCCTGCCTTTGGAGCAGGACACTTCTGGCTTGGCTGTCCTTGCTCTGAAATGTCAGAGGGAGCAACATGAGAGGAGCCCTAAGCCCTGCAGGTACAATAGCATGGTGGTCAGCAAAAACCTACCTGATCACACCTGTCTGTCCTGCTTGGGGCTGCTGTGCTCTCTGCTTCCTTCAGTCTCTCTTCTCTGGTCTCCCTTTCACACACTTGCCCCTTCCTGGGGGATACATTGCAGGCAGCCTATTGGAGGCAGTGGCTGTGCTTCCAACCAGAGGAACACCCTTCAGGAGGGTGAGCATGCATCAAAGGCACCCAGCTGCTGGGAAGGAGCTGTGGATTTGCCCTTTTCTTTACTCTTCTTGGCCAAAGGGGAAAGAAGCTGTGTAATGCCTCCTGTTCATCTCTTTATCTGTACTCGAAGTACAGAGCTGAGGGACAACTTTCCATTCCTTACAGTTGTCACCATGCGGTTGTTTCTTTGAGGAACAAGGTGACACAAAAACCTTTGGGAGATGCACAGCAGAAGCCCATGAGAGATCTGCCCCTGATGAGCACAGAGGGGTGGGCTCTGACCTCTGAAAACAATGCTCTACTCACCCCAGTGCCTCTGGTTCTACCTCAGCCTCCAAAAAATGGGATTGTGCCTCAGTGAGAGGAAGCATGGCCCAGCTTTCCCAAATACTCAGTAGCAAGTTTGGCTCTGCAGAAGGAAGGTCAGTTTTAGGGCATCCAGTGCAAGGTGGTAGCTCTTGCTCCTTGGGCTCGGAAGGAGATCCTTGGCTGAGCCTGGTGGAGTCCACCTGAACTCTGCTGGTTCAGGTGACCCTTCTAAGCATGGATGGCCACCCATAGTTCTGAGACTCATAGAACACTGAGCCCTGTCACCTAAAGAGATTTCCTTTCTTCCAGCTTTTGTCTGCATCCTCGGAGCCTTTCCATTCAGGAAGAGCCTTCTTCAGAGCAGAGGTGTACATATGTCCTCCATGGAGTCATTGTTGGAGCTGTGCTCACAGGCAGTATGTTATGGACAGAGCAAAACTGGTATCTCAAACTGGAAGAACTAAAAAGACAAAGGGATTACATAGATCAGGAAGCCTTGGATTAGTAAATGATACTTTTGCCCCTGTGATGAATTGTGTCTGGTTAAGTATGTTGCCTTTTTCCCAGCCTGGAAATTAAACTCGAGATAAGCAGTAAGAGCACAATTTGGTTGTAGTCAATCAACCCTGCCTAGGGCAGAGACCTAAGGTGAGGAGATGCCCTTTAAACAAGGAAGATGTGGGAGCTGTGTGTTTCTCAAAAAAGTCTAACAGACCTCAGAGACATTCTTGCAACAGGCAGTGCTGCTTCGTCTTCACAGCTTCCCCATCACCAAGCTCCATGGGCTGCAGTCGCACTGCTTGGTTGCAGTGGAAATTGTCTCCCAAACACAGAAAACTCCATGCTCTAGTGTGCCAAGCAGCCATGGCCTCTGCTGTGAGGCCATCACCCAGTGATTGCCTGGGCACTGTGTGAAAATGTACAGATTTCAACTGTTGAAGTTAGGTTTTGTCCATTAATCTTTGTACTGGGCTGACTCCCAGTCTGACATGGCATGATTAATTTAAGGTGGAGACCCAAAGAAATTTGAGATTCAGAAGGTAGGGGATTTCTGACTTGTGGGCTAAAAATGTCTTTCTTCTCTGGAGCAAATTTGGGGTTCAACCCTCTCATTGTTATGCCTCTGTGGCCCAGGCAAGGGTTAATATCTCTAAGTCACCCACTCCACTGCCCACCCTGCAACAGGCTTAGCTTGCCCTTCCATTGTTTGGACTAAACCTTCCCAGATTTACTTACTTCCTTTTGATGTCTGGCAATGTTTGTTTATTAGCGCCAGTGGCCTGTGTTAACTCTGAGTAAGTCTTTGACTAAATCCCATTCTCTGCCTTTCCTCCCTTCACGGGCTTGTGAGCTGATAAACTTCAGTGCTGGCTTTCAAACCCAGTGAGGTTAAACATGAACTTCTTTTACACCTGCCTGCTTTCCCAGCTAATGGACTCTGGTGGCTGCCGAGAGAGGAGTCCTTTTATGGCAAAGAGAAGGCTGCAAAAGTTCATTTCATTTCTGGTTCATATGTTCAAGAAGTGGGGTTTTAACTCTTGGAGAGGAAAGGATTATTTTAGTGAATTCCCTGCTCTCCTGAAGTCATCTGTTTAACAGTAGCAGAGAAATAATAACAGGACAGGTATTAGCCCATAAGTCACATAGTGTTATATATAGTCCACCAGGCATTATTTTATTATTCCCTTTTTTCACAGTGCTTAAGTACCATTTTGGGACACAGGGTTTAGACAACTTCAATCTAAAGGATGAATCAAGAGAAAGAAGATGAGAGCTGTTTGGGAAATGATAAGTACTTCCTATGGAAACTTTTGCAACAGTTCTGTTTTTCCTTTAATCATGGGAAAATTCCATCAAAAGAACAAAGCCTACCAAAAAAAAAAAAAAAAAAAAAAACCAAAACAAAAAAACACCAAGCAAAACCAAACCCCAAATCCACATATTTTTTCATAGTTTTAATATTTTTATTAAATTTTTATTTTTGTTATGGATCTATCTCAAGAAAGAAGGCATTGAAAAATCCCCTACAACTATTTGTGGCTTTTCATTTTAAGACAATCTCCTGACTAAATTTGCTCATGTTGTTTAATTACAGACATTAGCCCTACTCTCAAATTCTATATGGGTTTTGTACTTTATGTGTATGATTTATGATGAAAAAATAAGGTTGCATGATAATAATTTTAAAGAATCTTT